TCGTCTCTCTCTCTCTCTCTCTCTCTCTCTCTCTCTCTCTCTCTCTCTCTCTCTCTCTCTCTCTCTCTCTCTCTCTCTCTCTCTCTCTCTCTCTCTCTCTCTCTCCCTCTATCCTCTCACGTGCTAACATTGCGTTGCTTCCAACAGAGTTGAGAAAGGCCAACGTCGACGTCGTAACCTTTGGCCAGTACATGCGCCCGACCAAGCGCCACCTCAAGGTGGAAAAGTACGTGACCCCGGACGAGTTCGAGCTGTGGCGCCAGCGCGCCCTCGACATGGGCTTCCTCTACTGCGCCAGCGGGCCCCTCGTCCGCTCCTCCTACAAGGCCGGCGAGGCCTTTATCGAGAACGTCCTCCGGAAGCGCGCCGGCGAGAAGGCCGCTGCCGCTGCGGCCGCGGCCGTCGGCACCACTGCCAATGCCTCGGCCCTCGCAGGCCCGGCCATGTAGAAGGAGGCCTGCCTGCCTGCCTTCTCTCAGAAGGCTAGATCGGAGCGCGCGCAAGCCATCCGAAACCATCAAACTTCAATAACCCATGTATTACTTCTATAGACGGCCTACTCGGCATAATGACGGATTTTCTCTCTGGGATGGGATAGAAGGGGAATACCAATAATTCAGCCTGTCTTTCACGGAGAGACGCACGTTCATGTCATTAAAGTGCTTGCATGTTTGTTTGTTTGCTCTCGCGTCGAGGTCGACATGGACGCGACGGAAATCAGAGCTAGCAAACTGGCAGGGTAGACCTGGTATCTCAAAACTACATGTGGTCGACCCATGACCTGTTCCGTATCCGAAACTCCTGGCTCCCTGTGGTATCTTTGGTGTATCTTTTCCCTTGAAGAACTCGAACAGGACATGACAGAAACAGAGAAGAGGTTGAAGCGGAAAGAAGTGTATGCTCTCAAGCTCGAAATCGACCCTTTGCAAGGTCTTTGAACCCATCTAGAACCCCATCAGAAACGCAATATGCCGAGCTAGGTGCGTCGCCCAGCCAGAGAAGAAAGTAGCCGAGACATTTAGACAAACAGAGAAGAGAGGAGTTTTTTGAAGAAACAACGATCGGAGAAGAAGTCAAGAGACGATTCGAGATCTGTGTGCGCAACAAGTCTCAAGAACCCATCTTGAGAAGGCGCCAGAATCTCGTTTTTGAAGCGTGAAGAAAGAAGTCGTAGCGTAGTGTAGCTGTTTTTTTTGTTCTTTTTGTAGAAGGTTCGGGTATGACCCTGATCTGTCGCCATCTCACTCGGCATCGTTGGCGCCGCTCTCGAGCACGCGCCTGGAGACGTGGTGTCCAATGTCGCGGATGCTCGCAAAGTCGTCAATGTCGCCCACGGCCACACCCGTCTGGTTAGCGATCCATCGCGTGACGTTGAGCTTGACGAGCGAATCGACGCCGTAGTCGCGCGTGGACCGCGTCACGTCCATCGTCGTGCTTTCGCTGCTGCTGCCGCCGCTGTTGTTGTTGTTGTCCAGCAGCCTGCCCAGCTGGCGCGCCACGGCCGCGACGGCGACGTTGCCTGCCTCGTCGGGCGAGGGCGCGGCGCGGATCTCGGCCGCCAGCTCCTTGGCGCCCTTCCTTCCGGGCCGTCTGGCGGCGGCGGCGGTTGTTCTGGGCTGCGACGCGGCGGCGGCTGCGACGTCGGCGGGCACGTCCACCATGTTCAGGTAGTCGAACAGGCCCGAGCTGGTCCAGTGGCGCGGCCCCCCCTCGTTGCCGCTCTGCAGCGTCAGCCCGCCCGTGCCGAGGGCCGTGACGACCTGCGCGGGCAGCCGGAGGATGCCTTCCGTTGGGGTCTTGACGACCACCGCCGTCTGGGCCATGGCGCGCTCGAGTATGTACCGCACGTCGGCCAGGCGCACGCCGAAGAAGCCGTTTGCGAGCATCGCACCCAGGAGCCGCTCGTTCTCGGCCACCATGCCGGCGTCGAGCACCAGGCCGAGGTCCAGCGAGAGGTTAGTCCTGCTCTTGTCCGGGCCGTCGCTCGTCTGCTGCTGTCGGTGCTCGGCTAGCGCGTCCTGGAAGGTGTTGCCCGCCGCGTAGTTTGCCTGCCCCTGGTTGCCCAGCACGCCCGAGGCGCTCGAGAGGAGGATGAAGAAGTCCATGTCGTCCGGCAGGCAGCGGTGGAGATTCCAGGAGCCCATCGCTTTGGGGCGGAAGGCCGCTTGCCACTTTTCGAACGTCATGGTCACGAATGCGGAATCCTGCGGGTCGAACGTCCATCTGAGGTTAGCAAAAAAAAAAAACCCTTGGCTGTATTCAAAGCTGTGGCTGAAGAAGGCTTACCTGTAGTACGGCCGCGCACTGGATCGTGCCCTTGATGGGAGGCATATCTAGCTGGATGGTGGCCACTGCCTCTCGCAGCTGATCTTCGTCGCAGACATCGACAGGGACGTTGCGCGTTGTCACCCCGAGGGACTTCAGCATCTTCAACAGGCCCATGGCCGCCTCGGACTTGGGGCCGGAGCGAGAGAGGAATACGAGGTGTCGGGCGCCCTTCTTGACGAGCAGCTGCGCTATGGCGCGTCCGATTCCGCCGAAGCCACCGACCAGTATGTACGTCCCCTCCGCCGTCAGCTCGGCCGACCTAGTCAGCTTAATGCGGATCGGGATCCGAGCCGTGTCGTGCGCGACAAGTGTGTGAGAGCCGAGGTATGTGTCTGCGGTGAACGCCTTGAAGGCAGCGCCCAGCTTGTCGAAGCCGTGCTCGCGCGTGGGGTACGCCTGCATGTTGGCGAGTGTCTTGAGAGGCAGCAGTTCCTTCAGTTGTAATAGTGTCCTGTCCATCATCGCGGGCCGGCGCTTTGCGAGGTTGTGAATATCGAAAGTCTCGAATGAAATCTGCTTGACCACCGCCTGGCGCATGTCGGGAGCCTCGAGGGACTTGAATGCCAGCTGCGCAACACGCCCATCTATTTCGCGTTTTCTAGTTGTCAGTATGGCTCTTGATGACCTTGTTTGTAAGTGGTAGTGATCTGGAGGAGCTTTGCTTACACTCGGCACAGCACTCAAAGTTTGCTGCAAGATGACGGGGCGTCGGGTTGAAGATGATATCAGCGCCGTTTCCGCCTGTAAGACTCTGGACTGAGAGGGCGAGACGCCTGTCCTCGCTCAGGATCATATTGTCGGCCATGTGCAGCTTCTCTCGAACCACCCGGCGCTGTTCCTCGCTCGAAACCACGGCGATCACGACGGCTCCCTTGGCGCGCGCGATGTGAACGGCAGCTTGGCCATATGCTGAGGCGGCCGCGTGCACCAGGACCGTCTCCCCCTTCTCCAGCCGGCCATAGACAACAAGACCGTACGTCGCTGTGAGCATGGCTGTCGGAGACAAATGTGAGGAGGACTTGGCGAGCCCGTCCAGGGTCCAGGCAAACTTCTCGTGAACTACCACAGATGTCTTGATGGTGCCGCGGGCAAAGACGACGACCGCGTCGCCGACACGGCAGCTGGTCACTTCTCGTCCAACCTCGACCACGCTTCCCTTGGCATCGGAGCCGACCTCGCCGCCGCTGTGGTTGGCGATGGCGTCCATGTCGTCGGGCAGGAGCTGGCACGTCTCGATCTTGACGCGCACTTCCGTCTTGCCCAAGGGCCGAATCGCCTCCGCGTCGTCCTCAAAGTACAGGCCGTCGGACCCGGCGACCGACGCCGGCGCGAGCTTCCGCGGCCGGCCGGCGCCGCCGCCCTCCTGCTGCCAGAGTGCAGAGTCCTCGACGTGCTCGGGCCGCCCGTCGCCCTTCTCAATCAGGGAGTTGAGGGCAGTGAGGGTCATGAGGCGGGGGATGAAGCGCCTGCCGCCCCGCACGACGTGCTCGACCTCCTTCTGGGCCGCCGCGCCGCCGCCGCCGCCCTCCTCGGCCATGCTCGCTTGCAGGATCGCCACGATGGCCCGGACCGTGCTGTCGTCGTCGTGGTCGGCCTGGAGATCGATGTCGACAGAGACAAGCCTCCTCTGGCTGTCCTCGGATCGTAGGGTGCGGGTGAGCCCGACGGCCGCCGCCATGCGCGGGTCCCGGACCGACATCTGGCCTCCGCCCGTGACCCAGATCATGCTGGGCAGCAGGAGCAGCCTCCGCACCGCCGGCCACTGGCTCTCGTCGACGCCGAAGATGAAAGGGTGCTCCGCCTCCAGGAGCGAGATGTGGGTGGCCTCGCCCTCGAGTGCGTCAAGTTCGGGCGAGAAGCGCACGAACCTGCACCGGCCGCCGGCCAGGGACGATCCTCGGATGCGGCTCTCGATGAGCCCGCCGAGCGCGACGACGCGGGCAGACGGCTCCTGCGGCAGCACCACGACCACCTCGTGGGCCGGGCCGGCGGCGGACGGCGGCAGCCTCGCCGGAGCGGACGGCTTTTTAGCAAGCATGTAGCGTTGCCCCTCGGGCAGAGACCCGAAGCCCGCGAGGGTTCCGGCCTCTTCGAACCCGGCCGACACGAGCACAGACCTCAGCTCCTCGAGGCCCGCCTCTCCGCCCCCGCAGCCAGCGCCGCCATCCTCCACCGCCATAACCAGATGACCCCCGGGCACCAGCACGCGATTCAACCCCGCGGCGGTGATGTCCTGGAGCTGGGACCGTTCGACAAGGGCGACGACTAGGTCGTGCGACGCCTCGGGCACCGCCTCCACCGGGACCGCGTCCCACGCCACCCGCTCGAGGACCCTGCTCGGGAGCGAGCCCGCCGCCTGCAGCTCCGCCATGGCCGCCTCCGGGCACTCGCACAGCGTGTACGACGCGAAGCGGGGGGTCTCGTACCCGCCCGCCAGCACGCGGGCGAACTCGGCGGCGGTGGTAGCTGTGGTGGCGGCCGATCCTCCTCCTCCTCCTCCTCCCACCTGCAGGACGGCGAGCGACGGCGTCGCGTGCCCGCGGAGGTCGAGCCAGGTCTCGAGGCTCTCTGGCGCGCTGCCGCCCAGGTCCTCCTTCCACACAACCTCGGCGCAGAGGTTGCGGTGGTTCGGAAGGTGGCCGAGGCCGTCGGCTGGGCGGGCTGACCTTAGCAAGAGCCCCTTGACCACCACCATGGGCTCGTCCGCCGCCGCCGCCCGCGCGTCGAACATGGCCACGTCGGCCGACACCTGCCTCGGGCCGGCGCCGCGGGCCTTGGTGTAGCCTACAAACCGGTCCCCGGCCGCCCGGGGCGACTTGGCCGAGATGAACACGCTCCGGATGGAGCACGGCATCATGGCCTCGTCCTCCCCGAGGGCGAAGACGGTCTGCACCATGGCGTCGAGGGTCGCCGGGTGCATGACGTGGGGGTACTCCCACGCCAGCGGCATCCCCGCCCTGGTGTCGGGCACCCGAATCTCGCTGTGGCACTGGTGTGTGCCGAGCTGGCCCCTGGCCACCGCCACCATGTTGCGGAACATGGGGCCGTAGTTCAGCCCCAGCCCCGCCAGCCGCTCGTACAGGTGCCTGGGCGCCACCACGTCGCCGCACAGGAACCTGGCCTCCTCGTACTCGCGGCGCAGCTGTGGGGGATCGAACCCCAACGCACCCTCGGCGCCCTGCTGGCTGCTGCCGCCGCCGCCGCCGCCACCGTACAGAATGGTCACAAGCCCCTGCGCGTGCTTGTGGTGGGCCTGGCCCCCCGTCCCGGTCACGATGCTGAACTCGTGGGCTGCCCAGGCCCGACGAGCCACCGGACCGCCCTCGGCCGCTGCCACCGCCGCCGGCCGCGTCAGGATCGCGTGCTCGATGCCGTCGGCCGAGCGCGGGATGATGACAGGGCTCAAGATCTCGAAATTCGAGACCTCGAACCCCACCACCTCCCGGCCCGAGCCTTCGGCCAGCTGAACCGCCGCCTGCACCGCCATGGCCACCAGGCCCGCCGCGGGGTAGATGATGGCACCCTGGACCTGGTGGTCTTCTATCCAGGGGTTCTCCCCGAGCCGGAAGAAGCCGCGCCAGGCCGGGTCCGTCGGCATGCCCGGGTTCACCGGCGCCCCGATCAGGTCCTCGCGGCCGTGGGCCCGGAACCGGTGGCCCTTGGAGATCCTGGACTCGGACCAGAACTTCCTGTCGTGGTTCCAGGGGTAGGGAGGGAGGTCCCACAGGTGCTGCAGCGGCAGCGCAGCCTGCGACCTCTCGCCTCCGTCGCCACGACCGCCGTCGCCGCCGCCGCGGGCCCAGCCCGTCTCGATATCGCAGCCTCGGGCCCAGAGGTCGCCGAGGAGGTTGAGGGCCGATTCGGCCGCGTTGGCGCCCTTGTGCAGCACCGACAGGCAGGGAACCGAGACTGGGTGGCCCATGGCCCTGAGGATCCGGCCAATGGTGGTGGCCCAGACGACCCGTGGGCTCACTTCCACCACCACGTCGGGCTTGATGGCCTGCACCATCGCCGTAACGGCCTTGTCGAAGAGGACCGGGGAGACGAGGTTCTTGACCCAGTAGTCGGCGTGCAGGTCGTTGGGCAGGATTTCCGACCCCGTTAGCGACGAGTACATCTTGGCTCCATCGACGGGCGGCATCTGCATCTCGATTTGTCCGATCGCTTGGCGGTAGCTGCCGGCTATCGCGTTCATGTGGTGCGAGTGGTAGGCTGCTTGGACGTTGACCAGGTGGCTGGTGAGACCTTTTCTCTTGAGCTCCTTCTCGATGTCGAGGATGGCTTCCTGGTCTCCGGAGAGGGTCAAAAACCTTGGGCCGTTGTAGCATGCGATCCCGACCGAGCCGGGTGGGACAATGTCGAGGTACTGTTGGACCTCTTGCTCAGATAGGTAGACCGTGAGCATCTTGCCCGTTGGCTGGGACTTGTCGGCTTGCCACTCTGCGACGCAGTGTCCACGAAAGTGAGCAGCTTTCCATGCGCTCTCTCTGCTGATGATGCCACAAGCATATGCAGCCGCGATCTCGCCTGACGAGTGTCCTACAACAGCTGCTGGCATGATGTTGCTTGCTTGGAGAAGGTCGACGAGGGCTACTTGTATCGCTGTCGTGAGTGGTTGCGATAGATGTGGTAGGTCGATGATTGAGTCATCCTCGCATGTGCTGGCTTCTAGCTCATGGAGCAGGGTTGGGCTTCCATTCAGGGATTTGTGCATATACCGACAGGCAGCTTCAATGCTGTCTCGGAATACAGGGTAGTCCAGGAGCTCCCTCCCCATGGCCCACCACTGGGCGCCCTGTCCCGAGAAGACAAAGGCAAGGCGGGTGTTGGTGTCTCGCGGGCATTGGATGACAGCTCCGACTGCGCCGGCGGACAGCTTCTTGACAAGGTCTTGGTGGTTTCGACTGATAATGTAGGATCTGTACTCCAGTCTCGACCGTCGGTTGAGGAGGGTGTGTTCATACCGGTCCATGAGGTCGCTGCTGTCTTCTTGGTTGAGCTTCTTGCGGAAATAGGATGCGTGAAGTCTGGCCACCACTCCCACGCGATTCTTCTCGTGGGCAGAGTACACAAACAGCCGAGGCTCATCATTCAGACTTGTTTGGGAGGTTGAAGGGCAAGTGTTGGAGCTCTCGAAAAGGTGACATGCATGAAAGCCTCGCAGTCCAGCTTCTGCCAGATGGTGCGCGGCATCCTCGACGATGGCGTGGGTGTTCGTGCCACCGAACCCGAAGCAGTTGACGCTCGCTCGTCGGAGGCCTTGCTCTGGCCAGGGCGTCAGCTCCATAGGAACACGAACCCGCAAGTCTGAGAAGTCGATCTCGGTGTTGGGTTTTTCGAAGTTGAGATGTTTGGGTATGATTCCCTTCTCGACCACAAGGGCAGCCTTGATGAGGCCTGCAACTCCGGCAGCGCCCTCGAGATGTCCGATGTTGGTCTTGATAGATCCCACAAACACGGGGTCGTCAATGTGTCGCCCGCTGGTGATGGATCGGTGAACGGCTCGTAGCTCCCGAACGTCGCCCGCTTTTGTTCCTGTTCCATGGCACTCAACAAACCCCGTTCTGAGTGGATTAAGCCCGGCCTTGTCATAAGCCTGGATGATGTTGTCTGCTTGGCTTTCCATGTTTGGAAGAGTGATGCCTGAGTGTTCACGAAAAGTGAAGCTTGTCAGCATGGGCAACAAAGTCTGGCACCGAGACATATCTTGGAAATAAAAGCTTACCAGGAGTGCGGCCGTCTTGATTGCTCACGGTTGAGCGAATCACACCACGAATGGTGTCACTGCTTGCCAGGGCGTCCTCCAGTCTGCGAAGAATGACAATGCCGGCGCCTTCACCGCGGCCGTATCCATCCGCTCTGGAGTCGAAAGCAAAGCTCTTCCCTTCGGCGCTCAGGAATCCAAGAGAAGTCATTGGGTGGATCGTGTTTGGTGTCAGGATCAAGCCAACGCCGCCCGCGATTGCCTTTATGCCGCGCGCTTCATGTTAGACTACATCCACTAGCATGACGAGAGAGGAGCGGACAAGGAGGAGTTGTCCTCAGAGGGGACTTACCGTTGAGCACTCTCCACTCAGCAAGCTCTGGCATGCTTGGTGAATAGCGACGAGGCTGGCACTACAGCCAGTGTCGACCGTTTGGCTTGTTCCAGTCAGGTTGAAGCTGTGGGATATGCGGTTCGCAAGAATAGCGATGCCGTTTCCAGTTGCAGCATACTGAGGTGCGTCGTCCTGGTCCCGGAGGCACACTTGCTCGTAGTCTGGAGAGACAGGGTTAGACTCGAGAGCAACTGGCAGACCAGGGGATCAAAGAAGGCACTCACCCTTGACGAAGGAGCCAATCCAGACGGTGGTATCGCTCCCGTCCAAAGACTCTCGTGGAATTCCAGCTACGGATATCATGTTAGCTGGGAAGAGCTTGCTGGGGAAGGAAGGCATATTAAACACTTACCACTCTCCATTGCTTCGTACGTGACCTCGAGAAGAATCCTCTGCTGGGGGTCCATGGCTGTTGCTTCATTTGGAGATATGGCAAAGAACTTCAGAATAATTATCAACGTCAGCGTCTCTGAGCCAGCAGAGCGAACTAGCGAGAGATGGTGGTGCTTTTATCTTACCGATGGGTCGAACGCTGCCACGTTCTGCTTCAGGAAGTGGCCTCCTTTGATGTGGAACTGTCAGGGGAGGTCAGCGGCTGGTGATCAACAAACAATATCGGACTCGGGATAAAACCAAGTTCCGGCGGCGGCGCTGAATCACGGAGAAGGGTCTACTCACGCTGCCCTGGCGGCTCGGGTCCGGATGGTAGTGGCCGGCCGCGTTCATCCGCGACCTTGGTATCCTGGACCAGGCGCTGCGGCCTTCCGCCATCAGCCCCCAGAGCTCCTCCACGTTGGAGGCGTCCCCCGGGAACCGGCAGCCGATGCCGACGATCGCGATCGCGGCCATGTTGGAGGAAGGTGAGGGGAGGGAAAGCAGGGAAGGAAAGGGTAGGGAAGAGAAGTGCAGGGAAGAGAAGGAGGGGCAGGAGGGAAGAGAAGCTGCGAGCTCTATCAAAATCTAGAGCCTCGCTCTAGTCTCTGGTTCCAACCGTGCTAGGGTGGGGGCAGAGGCGGGTAGGGAACTGCGGGTAGGTACTCAACGGGGGAGGCTGTTTTTACCCACAAGTTCTTTTTTCCAAGGGGGCCCAAGTTAGTGGGCAGGCCCCCGGTGTGGCATACGGGCAAGAACGTCCTGGAAGCGGAGGGTACCGTACGAAATGGCGGAAGTTACCCCCCACTAGGCCCAGCATTCTTCCTTATCCCTATTTGTCCTTTTGGCCTGGCCAGCTATTCCTGGCGCCATACCAGACACATTTGCATCCCGTTCCCACTTCGTTTGGAGTACTTCAAACTTTATATCTGCCCTAAAGGTCCTCAACATTTGCACAAGAGAGTTTCCCTCCCCTCCGTAACCACCATCCAGAACCGCGCATTATGGTGACAATGATGGATGAGCTGACATGAACATTGGGCAACAATAGCAAAGCCGCATAAGCACGGAATAGCCGCCGCCGCCCTTCACCGTCTTCTTAAGCTCTCCAGGCCTGTGCAAAGTAGTAGGAAGGTAGACCGAGACTGCTAATGTCAAAACTATCACCCACGCCGATGGGACTACCACTTTTCCCACTCGGAATAGTACTCGATTCTCGCCAGCCTGCTTGCCACCAGAGGCATCTCGCTCATTCGGTAAGACTAGAAAATGTGCTCCATGCTGCCCAAGGTCTTGGGGAGTTTAGACAACTAACACACTTGGCGAGTATGGCGGATCAGTTATATTACGAGCAAGTGAGGAGCCCGAGAGAAGCAGCATTCGCCCTATCGAGCCAGCGGCACATGATAACGAAATCCAGCCGGAGAAGAGGCTGTAGCAAGCAGTATCTTGCGGGCACTACAATCACCTTCCGGCTACTATATCTGTGCCATTGGAATGTGCCAACATTCCAGTAATGATAGGGCCAAAGCAGACACTCCGCAGAAGAGACGCATAGCACAGATGGACAAGCGGACTTGAGAATAGCATTTTACAGCCTGGTTCAAGGATGATCTTCCTATCATGTAACAGGGCTATATCTGATTGCTGCCAGTCGCATTGGGCAAGAGAATGACAGCAGCTTCAAGAAACCGTAGCCCAGGGCGGCGCAACTGGAAGGTGGAAGCGAGACAGGAAAGATATGAATGGCACTAACGGAGCAAGGGAGGCCCGTACGTCAGCCTTGTAATAATGGAACGTTGATGATGGCCGCCATTGCCCAGTTGGACAAGCCACAGATGCCACGCAAGAAGCCGCCCCTTAAATGCGACCCTAACCCTTGTACTAAGGAGCTCAGCCTTGCCAAGAGGCAAGAATATCCATCGCATCGCGCGCGTGTGCAGATACTCGCATCGGCCAGAGTGTGGAAAAGAAAGTCGGCTGAAAGTGCTCGGGGATGATCGTGTCGTTGGCCGGATCGGCCGGATCTTGATACCTGTAATAGATGGCGGGAGCGCCAGACTTGACAACCCATCACGCAGTATCTTGAGGGAGTTGTTGCAGGTTTCCCCGCAGACGGCAATGCTTCTTTAAGACGTTGATAATGAGCTGAGTACGCTCAGTCCGCGCGCCTCTGCCGCGCCTACAAGAACCTCGTCGCCGTCACGGCGGATCAGTGTCACACCCTGGTCCCACGCGTGATCAAGAGTGGCAGCACCCCGGGCCGCGCCCCCATCCTCTCGCGCGCCTTCCTTGATGCCCTCGATGGCCGGGTCCGCGCCGTCACCGCCTCCGAGAGCACTATGACCAACGCTCGCGTCCAGGCGAGCCTTCCTGACCTGAGCGGCTCGTGAGTCATCTTGGCTCCTCCCGTCCTCCCGTCGACCCCTGGCTCTGGCCGCCGCGGTGCCGTGACGACCTCGTTCTTCTTCAAGGACTTCATCGATCCCCGGTTGATTCAACGCATCACCTTTGCAATGTGCCTGGCGATGGTGGCGCGAGTTCCGGCCACGGCCGTTTCGTTGGACTCCAACGGAATGGGCGACATCTAGAGGTTACCCGAAGGATCCGCCGTCTTAATGGTATCAACGTAACGATAATTTTAGTACAAAAAGGCAATCGGTATGGGAAAAGGATGGAAAAGTAAGTATGCTGTAATCCTTTATTTGCGATTTTATATGTTTTGCCTAGGGGTGTTTGTAGCGTTTTTGGTTATTAAAGACTGGTATGTAATCGATATGTTTTTGCCGAATACCTAACGTAGGGTGCCGAATTTGGCTGAACATTTCAAAAGTTGGATATTTAAAACTAACTTCTTTGGACTGCGTAGCCATCAAGGTCCTGCAGATCTCCGCTGCCCGGATAACCTCATAGCTAGCCGCTTCCAGGATCCCCTAAAAGATCATAATGGACGTCGAAAGAGTTTGGACTAGTGGTACTGAGAAAGCAACGCGGAAAGCCATCTGCCGACGACATTGGAGAGACGGGAGGATGCAGGGTTGGCTGAGTCGGACATGTGTTGCTGCAGGCTTTTGTCGCAGTCAACACCAAAGCGGGCTGCGGCATTGGCCTGTCCAGGTCGTACAGCCCCGCCTTTGTATTAGAGCGAGCACTCGGTAGCACCCTCTACCAGGCGTTCCTGATCCTCCCGTCTGTGCGGCGCTAATACAGTCGAGATTGCCACAGGGACGCACATGTCGCAGTGTTGACCAGCCCAGCTGTATCCAGCCTTGGCGTGCCTTTCCTTGCTTCCAACCTCCCTACGTAGCCAGCAGGCAGGTCTCGCATCGATCACGGCTGGGTAACTGGAACTTGCAAATGCCAGAACTGAAGAAGAGAGTCACGATGTCTACAGTGGGTGCTACTTGTGTGCGTGTCGACTCCTCAGCCCTCACAAGCGGCTGTTCGGCCTTGATTAGATGGATCGACTGGCCACACGTGGTACCGCACACAGCAGGCCCTTGTGAACCGCCTCCTCCATGTCTAGCACGACGGCGCACACACATCAGGATTCGGTGCGCAGCCGTACTCTTCTTGCTTGCATCTAGGACTGCACCCAACAAACTAAAACTTTCCATAGAGGCAGAGACGCGGGAATGGAATCTTCTCTACGGGCGTTGGAGCTAAACTACTCCCAGGTGGAAGGAACTGTGGGCAGGAACTGTGGGCAACTTGCCTGCCCAGCCAAGCGGAGAGTCCCCGAAGCAGAAAGTGCCACCCATGCTTGCCTGGATACCGGCCATGTACCAGCTTATCAAGGTGCCTTCCCGCCCGGGAGAGAGACGAAAGCTTCGAGAGTGTAGCGTCACTCACGGATCTAGGTGGCTCTCAGATTAGGTTCTCAGTCGGCCGGCCGGCGCTGTGTCCTCGGATCAGTGCCCCGCCACGAATGCAGATTCCCGTGCCTGCATCACGAAGAAGACGGGGGCCTCTGCAAGTCGCAAGATCTCGTCGCCTGCGGAATCTCAAAAGCCTGTCCTGGTCCGGCACAGGCCAGGGTGGCTGCATCAATCACCACGGAGGGGCACCTTCTCACTTATCCTGGGCCAGCCGGTCGAGGAAGACAGGGGAGGGGAGCTCGCTTCCTGAGGCGGCCGACAGGCCAGTCACTGGTCTCTCTTGCGCGAGTAGAGCAGAGACATGTGCTCCGATGCAACGTTGTCCTGATCTTGACTGGCGTTTCCATATCGATCCCAGACGGCTATAACAGGACTCGGCCCGCTACATGCTATCCCAGCTTGAGATACAAAATCGGCGTGTCCCCGAGGACAGTCGGCCCCAGGCCCCCTCATTAAGCCCAGCCGCAACGGTATCCGTCGCCCACCCCCGGGTCCGTGCTGCCACCAGAGGAAAGGAAACAGCCTGACCAGTCTCTGCGCCACCGCCCTCGACCCACAGCCACAAGCGAGGAGGGCACACCACCTCGACCTCAACCTCACCTACGAGCCAGTCGCGACAGCTCTTCAACCCCCACCTTGGCTCAGTGTCGGGTACAGATCCGAAATCCTTGTCATTGGTCCATTTTGTACCAGCTTCCTATGCCAAGCGCCTTCACTTGGTCTCAAGGGGGAACGTCATCTAGAACGTCACCTACACAGTATCGACGCCAGTCTCCGGCTCGACTACCAAAAGCGCGAGATATTCCGTTCAAAAGTCACTGGGCTCGAGTGCCCCCAAGCAGCCACCATGTCGAGCTCGACAGTCAAGCGGTCCTCCCTGCTGCTGCAGTCGCCGTTCCCGCTGCCCAACATGCCGGAAGCACACGTCCCTCTTCGGCACAGCAGCATCGGCGTCCCGCCCAGGCAGAGCAGCCTAGCCAACCGGCTCTCGGTACACCGCCGCAGCCTGAGAAGAAGCGACTCCATGGAGGAGGCCCTGAGGCCCAGTCCTCCCAGCGAGAGCGAGAGCAGCGACGGCCGAGTAGGCGGCGGCGAGAGCTTCGTCACGCCCCCGGAGGAGGAGACGCTTGGCACGGCACGCTGCGTTGCCATCGTTGGAATGTACGTTGACTCTAGGTGGAAGGTCTTGGGCCCTGCTACTTGGGCCTCCATTTGCCCCCATCACAGCTAACTCTGGGCAAAACAGGCTGCTTACTTCTCTCCTCTTCTCCCTCATCGACACGACTATCGTATCGACCTCCCTACTTGAGACTGCCCAGGACCTCGGGAGCTTCTCCGAGGCGACTTGGATAATGCTATCATACCTGCTGACCTACATGGGTATGTGTCACCCCAGCTCCATCTAACGACTATCCACTTCACTTGATCTGCTCGCCTTCAAACATGTTTCCGACTTCTGACCAGACTCGTGGGCTCTCCTCCTCGACTGCAGGCTTTTCCGTTATCTTTGCGAAGCTCAGCGACATCTTTGGTCGGCTCGCGATGCTCGAGGTCTCCTGGCTCCTCTTCACCGTCTTCTCGCTAGGTTGCGGTCTTGCGCAGACTATGAACCAGCTGTAAGTGTAGCAAACTTACTGCTAGCAACGATCCCTTTCTCCTTCCATCTGCGTGACTGTCTACTAACCAAGGCCGTCTAGGATCGTGATGAGGGCTTTCCAGGGGATAGGCGGCGCCGGCCTCTACAGCCTGCCTATAATATGTCTCCACGAGGTTATCCCGAGGCGTCGCTGGCAGTTGGTAGGAGGGGGTATCGCAATTACCCTCTCCATATCATATGTTCTCGGCCCGTCCCTGGGAGGCGTTGTCCCGCACCGCAGCAGCTGGAGGGTGCTATATCTCATCAAGTATGTCTAGACCTCCCATGTACCAAGTTCATGCGCCAGCCCACGGGCGGCCGCGCTGTCTTTGAGCGTGCAGGACTCAGCCAGCTTAATAACCCTCGCTCAGCTGGGCTAACGATTATACAGCATCCCTTTTGGGGTGGTTGCAGCTGCCGGACTATTCCTCCTATACCCCCGACGGCGGCAACAAAACACCACCACCATCCTGCAAAGCTTCGGCATGATCGACTTCCCTGGCGCCCTCCTGCTCCTCGCCGCGAGCATGATGTTGGTATACGCGATTCAGGAGGCAGGGTCCATGAAGTATCACTGGAACTCGGTCCCCATCGCCGTCAACCTGACACTCTCGCTGCTTTGCTGCATCGCCTTCTGGGGGTGGGAAGCGTTCCTTCACGCGAGAGGCGGCCGCGTCGCGCCCATATTTCCCATGTCCCTGGCTACACATCGAGTCTATGTTGCCTGTCTGTTGTAAGCAAAACACGATAACTTGCTCGCTGGCTCCAGACCAGCTACCTTTCGCCACCGTTCACCCCACTAACAGAGTAAACCCCTCGGCTTAGCGTTACAGTACTTGTGGGGTTCGTCTTCATGCCAGCCGTCGTCATGATCCCCGAGCGATCACAGATACTGGAGGGCAAGAACGTGATGATGGCTGGCGTCGACCTCCTCCCCATGCTCGCCGCCGTGGCCGTGGGCTCGTTTGTTGCCGGGCCGCTCTCGATGCAAAAGAACCGTACGACCTTCACCCTCGTCCTGGGCACTAGCTTGATAACGACAGGCGCATCCCTCATGACAATCCTGGAAAGCATGGCTCCGGAATCGGCCATCAAGGCCATGTACGGCTTCGAGGTCGTCCTCGGTCTTGGCTTCGGCCTCTGCCTGGCGTCGACAACCATCATGGCCAACCTGCAAGCAAGAGACGCTGACATGGCGGTCGCCAATGGCGCCGTAGCCCAGGCTCGCGTCCTGGGCTCAGCCATCGGACTCGGCATCTGGACCACCATCTTCAACACGACGACGCAAAGCGGCGGCAGGCTGGGGTCGACGGCGGAGGGCGGAATCCTCACGCCCGAGCAGGCAGAGGCTCTGCGCCGGATTCCCACAAGCGTGCTGCAGCTCCCAGGGCCGGCGCGGGCCGAGGCACGAACAGTTTACAAGGCGGCCTTCACGGAGCAGATGATGGTCTTGGCCATTGCCGCGGCCGTCGCCTTCGCCCTGAGCCTCTGTACCTACGAGACCGAGCCACCGCCCGGCCAGCTACCGCCACCGTCGCCGCCCATGGGCTGGAATCCTAAGCAGATGATGCCTGCCACTGATGGCGCCAACGAGCAGGAGCTTCTGGACATGGCCAGGATCGAGGCCTCGCTTGGGGTCACCAGGGGCGACCTTGGCCAGCCTTTGCAGTCGGACAGTCGCCGGGAGTCTTTTGAGCTCGGAAGGCTCCCTACTGTTCCGCTGCCCATCATCACGAGGTGATTTATTCGCGCGAGCCCAATGTAGCACTGGCTTGATATTACGGCATATGTCTTCATTACCTCGGGGGCCACGATTCTGTACATATTTGCATCTGTCTAGACCAGCACGCATGCCTGCCGTCGGCAGACGAACCGCCTCATGCTGCCAGTTCTGGGGACTTGCGTGGCCCTTCAGGCCTCTAAACCCACATTAAAGATGATCTTTGGCACAAGCCATCGTATGGACTGACGAGTGAAGAAGGCGCTGCTGTTGTCCTAAACTTTTGACCGCCTGTGTTTTCTTTTCCTCCACACATCCCGGCATGGCCCAGCCTCCCAGATGTCCAAGTAGCAAGTGGAACGCTGTGACTCCTCGTGGTCTTTCTTCTTGTCCTGACTGTAGCGGGAACAGGCAGGAGGCAAAAGCGCAATGTCCCAGTTTCTCATGCCCCAAGCCTCAGTGCGAGACATGACGCACCCCCTAGCGTCCGGTTGCTGCTGCGACCGGTCACCTGCGGCTGTGCCACCAGCCCAAGGCGAGAGTTCCCAACCCGAGTGTGTTGGGAGCGCTCATGACTAGGCCGGAAGATTATTCCGTCGATCCCGTAGTTTGCATCGTCGGCTCCCCGACGACTGTATAATAGGGGACGGACCGGTGCCTATCATCTTATAGATATATATATATATATATTCCTGGGCAACAAGCCCCCCGCCCCAGCTGATCCTCAGGTCGTGCGGGAAGCGCCCCGCCCCGCCTCGCCGTCGCACAACGGCCGAGAGAGAGAGAGAGCACGAGAATCTCGCGCGCGCCCTGGCGACGGGAAGACACTGGTGCACCGATGACTTGGGCTGCCGCGCTCCAGATCATGCATGTGCGCACGCAGGTAGCCGGGTTGCCCTTGGCTGACGGCTGCGGGAGGGCGGGGGGTCATCCGGGCAGGTCGCTCGGCTTCGTGCTTTGGATGTTACGGCGACCTGATGGAGAAGGTACGCACTGCTTTGTTACATCACCTCTTGCTGGTATATTTCAGTCTCTTTTAAGCACAGCGGGTAGGGAACTCCGAGAAGAGGTCGACACAGTTGGCTTTGGGCTGATGTATACCACGTCCTGAATCCTGAGCTTTCGGTTTGGCAATGGGGAATTTCAAGGGCTGTACTGCAGAAAGATGTATAATCCTTTCTCCTAGGTTGCTCTCTTGGCGTCATTCCACAGGTCTGGCAGAGGTTCCTGAGTTCACAACTAAAAAGGCTAATTTGTTGAGGTCGTAGGTAGAAATGGGTGGTATGGCCTGCTATTTAAGGCTATGTATTCCGTTGGTTGCTACGTTAATGCAGACAATCCCCCTTAAACTACAACCGGACTTCGAAAGCGGTAAAATCCATACAAACACCATAGGTTCTTCCATTTCTCCCTTTCATCCTCAATTTTACTCCTTTAGCTAACCCCGGTTGCCACCCAGACTAACTTCTTTCCCTTTTCGGTCGACTTTTACTACCACACGCAGCCACCAGCCGATACATAGCTCATTTGGTAAACGATTGGTACCGCCCGTCCGCATTCCTCCCAGCTTTAAATTTTCCTTGCGCTGCCATCAAGCACCCCCGCTGCTCTTAAGCGACCTCCGCTTCAAACACAAGGACCTCGACCGCATGCGGCTCACGGCGAGCCCCTTGTGTACAATACGGAAAGCTCGGTAACGGGCCGAAGCAAAAGGATGTGAAGGTTGCTGCCAAACAGAACTAGTACGCCGTTTACTGGCTGGGCTGTCCACGAGGTCCTAGGGATCCAGCATCCCACCGAGTGAAGGCTAGTCCAAGATACATCCAAGGAGATGTGGGATTCTGGGGGATCCTAGTTTGGCGAAATTTTCTGCATTCGTACCATTACCTCCCGGCTCAAAGAGACTGAAAGTCACGTTTCCAAACCCCTACTGATATGAGTTTGTTAGGCATGCGCACCCACCGCGACGCCGATTATGTCTCCTACCACGCCAGCGAGGCAGTCGGCATCCACGCGCGAGCTCCACCAGACCATGACGACGAGCATTGCGGCAACCTCGTCACAGTGGCACAGGTACGTGAATCACCGCTTGAGCCGCTGCTGCTAGAGCCCGCACTGACAAAGCTACGCCTGCCCAGGATATCGCGGACAGATGCTCAGTGTTCGAGAAGGACCCCGATGATGATGTCGGCACCCACCAAGACCGCGACTGTTGCGCCGCCGCCGTGCCTGAGCAAGGCTACTAGAATAAAATGGGAGATGACGCGGTCGAGATGTCCTCTCATGAGAAAGGCTCTCCAGAGAAGGGATGGGATGGAAAGGGAAAGCGCGGAATCTGCCCGGCAAATCGATGGACCAGATCAAGATCATCTTGCTCTTGGCCGTGCAACTCCTTGCTGCAATGATGGCCCTTTATAAACAGTCAGCTCGACACAAGAGGTCACAAGATCCCGCTGGCAGCAAAACTGAGTGCCGAATAAACAACAAGATGCAGTCGTCATGGACTGGATATATGGGGGAGGGACATCGCAGCCCTTTCGCCGCGTTGCTCGAACTAAACTAGTGTCCTCGTCAAAACAGGTCTTCGAGAATAAACTACCCGCCAGAGCAAGCCCACACACACAGTCCCTCATTGGGCGCTTTCTGCCACCATGTATGTGTACATGTACTCCCCTCCCCTCCACGCCGTGACATTAACATTCTTTACTGATACACATGGCGCTCCAGAAAGGCCGTCAGTCTCTTCTACGTGATCGCCGATACGTACCTCCCGTGAGCCGTAGTACACACATACCCAAGTAGATACAGTCCGGCATACCGAGTCCCCCACAACGTCCAAAAGGACTTGGCAAGGACAGAGGGCAATATGGGGAAACAACTCCGAGAGATGAATATCAAGAGCGACATCAATGATGAACCTTCAAGGCTGCTCCTACTCCTAGGGGCTGCCAGGTCGCCACGCAGTCCTCACGGCGTGCCTATTGCTGAACAAGCCACCATCCGCCTTTGCGACATGCCCACCGCCAAGATCAAGTACGCCGTCAACGGGTGCGACCCCCTCCCCTGGCTGCAAGGGCGCTTTCCACGTGCCGCTGGCCGGCGACACGACGCCACCATAGTTCGCGGGGCTACTGAGGGCCCAAGGCCCGCGGCCCGGTGCCTCGCAAGCGGAGGGGGGGGTGGCGTCGTCAGTCACAGATGCTGACGGCGGCGGCGGCATCGGGCTGCGGCTGCGGGCCGCTCGCTATCAGCCATACTGGTACCGAGATGCGGCGCGCGCCCATCGCCGGTGAAGAAAACGGCCGAGGCGGTCGGGACGCTGACGGTTTACGAGGGCACGGGCGGATTTTCGTGACGGACGGCGGCAGGTCTCGGGACTTCACGCTTGAGCTCAGCTTCACCATGAAGATCTGAGCACACATATGTGATGATCCAGCATACGAATCGCAGCGTCTGATTTGTTTTTCTTTCTAGTGCGCCTTGGCTGGACTCTCCAGGTAGGGTTTATCGATCACATCAATGCTCATGTCAACCTCCTGCTGTGTTAGCCCATAAGACGCTGATCATCAAGTAGATAGATGCCTGTGAAAGCCGTTTCAGATATACCTTTATGTCGATTCAGTGACCGCTCAAGCCATCAACCCTTGAGAGACTGGCTTTATGCAAACAACGTGAGTCCAGGACTACCCAGAATGACCATTCACCAACAGTACCCCCTTCACCTCTTCTTACTCCCCTTCCCACCCTTCCCGCCACCGCCACCGCCACCGCCACCTCCCTTCCCGCCGCCCGCGCCTCCCGACATCATGACCTTGACCTTGCCGACCGGCACGCAGTTGTTGGCCTCCTCGGGCTTGATGGCCTTGATTAGCTCGACCTCGCGCGGCCACATGCGCTCCGGGTCGCGCGCGTTTTCGTCCACGACGCCCTTCTTGCCCGAAGCCGCCTTCCAGCTCTCGATGATCTCCTTGAGCGCCTTGCCCTTCTTCTGCATCCCGGGCTGCAGCTTGGCCTTGTACTTGACCCGGGCCATGGCCGCGTACGGCGCGCAGATGGGTATCACCTCGAGGATCTCGTCACCCGCCTGCGGCGTGCCCACCAGCGAGTCGAGCGTAGAGAGCTCCGTCGGCCCTCCGCCGCCGCCGCCGTCAGCGTCTCCATCGCCGTCCTCACCGTCGCCGCCGGCCTCCTCCATTTGCCGCCGCCTCGCCTCCTCGTGCGCTGCCGTCGCCTGTTGCTGCCGTTTAAGCTGCTCCTTCCGGCGCTCGCGAGCGGCTGCTAGAGCGGCTTCCTCCTCCGCTTTAGCCTTAGCCTCAGCCTCGCGCTTGAGCCTGCCCGCAGCGGAACCGAGAAGCGCCTCAGCGGCCGCCCGGTCCTCGTCGTCCTGGTGCTTGTATTTGGCTGCGATCTTCTTGGCCTTGGTGCGCTGACCTCGCTTTAAAGGGCCTTTTTTCTGCTGCGCGGGCGGGGCGACTGATGATGCGGGCGTGTTTAGTACAGACTCTGTCTCATTGTCGTCACTTTGATCTCCATTCTCTGCCGCGCCATCGTCATCACCATCGCCATCCCCAGCCTGACCTTGAGATGCATCCGCCTCCTTCGTGTCGGGCTTGGAAGAGACCTGCAGCTCAGCCATGTGTCCAGCAGGTGGCGCGGTCTCTTCGTCGTCACTCTTCTCATCCACATCTTCGTCATTGCCGGTGCCTGACTGTAGCGGATTTGCCCTTGTCGAGCCGACACCGTCATCCTTATCTTCAGAATCCGAGTCACTTTCAGAACCCACCCCAACTGCGTCCTGTGGACTTATATCATCATCCGCCGCCGCCTCCGTCCCAGGCGATGGCTTGGGGGCAGTCGAGGGCTCGCCTTCCGCAGACTCGTAAACACGGTGCCTTGTATGTTTGGCCTTGCTCTCGTCGCTTATGCGGAACATGACACCAAACCCGACGATCAACGGCGCCGGCGGCAGCTCGTTCCGCTTGCCCCGCACCATGAAACTGCCCGTCGGCAGGAACTCACCCGTCGGCGCGGACTTGGACACCTGGTCTGCCCCCACCCAGTACGCCCCCATGCCAGCCTTGGACTCCCAGGCGCTCGACGCGCAGACTGCGAGCTGGCCCGCCTGTGACAGAGTGGACGGAGGCACAGGCGCGTCGGGCGTGCGCGGGTTGTTCTTGATGATGACGCTCGGCGCACCGTGCAGGTCAGCGTGCACGTAGACATCGCCGCGTTTGAGATAGCGCCGGTACAAAATCTCGTTTTGCTGCGCATCACGGCCGCCGAGAACAAGGTAGCCGTCAGACGATATGAACCAGTGAAACTTCTCGAACCACATCTGACGCCGGGCAAGCTGCATGACGGGCTTCTCCTTCTTGAGTCCCTTCTGAAGATCCTTGGCAATCTTCTCCTGGGCACTCTTCAGCGCAATCGAAGACTGCTGCACCGTCTTCTCCTGCTTGACCGCGGCGCTGCGTTTCTGATCGTAGTATTCGCCAGCGTTGCCCCATGGGGTGAGACTGAGCTTGATGTCCACCTCGAGGGTCTTGGCCTTGCCCGTCTGCACAGCAGCAGCATCGTCGTCGTCGTCGGAAGCAGACGACTCAGTCTCGTAGCCATCTTCCGAATCATCATCGACGTCGTCCTGTTCGGCAATCACGAGCGTGATGGTGTTGTTGGCAAGGTCCATGGGAAGCTCAATAATCTCGGCAACAGGGTTGTGGCGTTTCTGCTCACGCTCGACCAGCTTTCCAACATCGACCCAGTCCATTCCTTGCTCGAGGAGGCCGATGACGGCGTCCATGGCCTCCTGCACCCTCTCAACGTTGGCCTCGATGGCAGCGGCCTTGCGAAGGTTCAGCAGCTGGTATTCCTGGAGGCCTTCTATCCTCTTCTCGTGCTCCCGCTTTGCGGCATCAAGCTTGCGCTTCGCCCCAGCCTCCCGCTCAGTCAGACGCGACTCGAGCTTCTGGCCCTCGAGTGATGAGAAAAACTCGTCCACGGTTTTGTTGAAGCCCTCAAACGTGAGCACGACATTTGATGGGTCGCCGGCAAACTGCTGCGGCAGGAAAGGGCTAAAGTCCTCGTACAGCAGTCCTTTACTCAATTCTGGCGCAAATGGCTTAACCACCGCGCCTTCCGCGGCAGCCCCAGCATCGGCCACATCGGGGTTCCTTGCTACGATGTAACCCTTGACCGTGTCCGAGCTTGTAATGTCGTCTATGATGCCCCTCGCCCGCTCGAGCGCTGTAAACAGGGCGTCAAAAACACCTTCGTCCTCTAATATGTCTGCGGGCTTTGCTTTGGGATCAAAGTTGTTTTCCTTGAAGGCATGGTCCACGAGTATAGGGGGCAGCTCGGAGATTGTCGTCGCCAGGCCCCTCCTCAGGTCACCACCAGCCTTCTTTCCCTTCTTGGGAGCGGCGGCGGCGGCGGCGGCAGCCCTCTTCACGGTCGTCTCCAGAGCATCGCGGAGGCGCTCTTTAGTGAAGGCGGGCACGCCGCCAAAGTTCAGGCGGTTGTCGAGGGAGTACGCCAGCCCCACGCGCTGGGGCTCCTGGCCCTCGCCCTCCTTGACGTTGCGCAGCAGCGCCAGGATGTTGAGATTGGCATCGGTGAGGATGATGTTGCCCGAGGCGAAGAACTCGAAGAACAGGCGGAGGCTGCCGTCGCTAAACTGCAGCTCGATGATGCGGTCGGTGCCGACCTGCGAGACGGCGGTGCAGCGGCGGGTCCTCAGGAACTTGCGTACGCGGGCGACGAACTGGCTCGGGGCCGGGGCGGTCGGGCGCGAGAAGTCGGTCAGGTGGCAACGGAAGCCCGAGTCGATGATGAGCTGCTTCTTGAGGTCGGGCTTCGCAAAGCGCAGGAGGAAGATCTTGGAACTGAGGTCGTAGATGTTGGAGAGGCGCAGAGTGACCAGGCTCTGCTGGAGCTCATGGGCAATCGCCCGCACATCCAGGCTAGAGAGTCTCTGCTTCATATCAAAGGCAGCGGTGCCGTACTTGGCTTGCTCGACTAACGCGCAGGATCAATGGCAAAAAGAGCAATGGGCGAAGGAGACCTGATCATGACAAAATTGAATCCATTATCCAGCCCCTCGCCAGACCTGCGGGGTGTTGGGAGCTGTTACGTCAGCGCTCTCCGAACCGAGTCATCCGGCCTGGCGAAAGAGTCAAAGTCAGGACAGTAAACGACAATGTTCGAACGAAGCTGTGACATTCATTGGCTTTCTAGAACGTGAACGCGATGGCATTTGCTGATTACGGAATGAGACGGACGGAACATAAATTCGGTCGCGTGGTCGAGAAATAAGTTCTAAAAATTCAATGGCAAACCGTCGAGGAACATGTCACATCCAGTACAGCACGCTCATGACATTTGGACATACAATCATGAGAAAACAGTAGGACAAGAGATCACATTGAACGGGAGCGAGCAAAGGTTACAGCCAAGCTATGAGACCATATTGATTAAATAACTAGATGATCTACATTCTCAATATCCAAAAAGCAAACGATTCTCAATCTGCAAGCAATATCGACACAAAAATCTCCACATCAGCGTTTACAGGCGCGAGCCGTGCATGACCTTGACGTCAACGATGAGCTCGCGGGGGCCGTCGTTGGCAACAAGGACTCGGACGGAGCCACGGCCGGACTCGAAGTGCTCAGTCAGGCGCTGCCAGAGGTTGGACTGCTCCATGACGGGAATGCCGGGACGGACATCGCCGTTCTCGGTCATGCAGGTGACCTGGCCGTCGTTGAGGTCCAGGACGCGGTACTGGCGGAAGACGGGGCCACGCATGGACTGGATGACGACGCTGGGCTCCGGGTTGGTGATGTTGGACGACTCCTCGTGGAGCTGCTTGGTGAACAGGTCCACACCCAGGTAGCGGTGCTGGCCGGTGGCGGGCGAGGTCGAGATGCGGATGACCTGGCAAGGCCTACCCTGGAGAATGAGGATATCACCCATGCGAATATGGTGGCAGGGAATTGTCACGACATTGCCACTAGCCTTGGAGGGCTTGGGGCTGCGACGGGCGACAGCGTTGTCGTTGCCTGCAGAATGTTCATGGTGCCCATGCCCACGGGGGTGGATGATGCGGTCAGCCACCTTGTGCAGGCCCTGATGAATATCCTCTCGGATCGAGTGGTGGCGGCCTGATTTGGGAGCCATAGTCAGGATGTGTGGGGGTTCTTGGATGTCTCCAAAGACAGTACTTACCGGAATCGTCGTAGTAACCCATCTTGTTGCTGTTGTTGGACTTGCGGGAAGCTTGCGAAGGGGCAATGGACTCGGTCTCCTTGACTTCGATCTCCTCGAAGTACACGGGGCGGTGCTTGTGGCTGTTCTTCTTGGCGGGGACGAGAGCGTACTCCTCAACCTCAATGGTCTCCTTGTAGACAGGAGAACCGGCACGCGAACGGGGAGGGTCGATGGTGAACTCGGACGGCTCCTTGTAGTTGGACTGGGCACGGGCGCGGTAACCACGCTCGATAGTGTCAATGGCAGAAACTACGGTCTCGGTGCGGTGCGAAGAGTGCTCCGAACGCGCGGGACGGTGGTGATGATGTTGATGGTGGTGGTCGTGGTGGTTGTCAACGTCGATGAAGGTCTCCGAGTACTGAGGTTGGGGCCTGGAGGTGTTTAATATCTTGTCAGCGTCGAGCTCAAGCCACCAGCTGAGACCCAGCTAAAGGCGGATAGGGGTTCTGGGCACGCACCTGCGCTCCTCAAGGAGGTGGTGGTGGGTACCGGGACGGTGGTGATGCTCCTCTTCACGAGTGTAGCAAACCTCTTCCTCGTGGTATTCCTGCTGCTCTCTCCGAGGGGGGAGGCTAGCGACGGCAGAGACAGACGAAGAGTGGCGACCTTCCCGTCCGGCTTCAGGAAGCCTAAGCTCAACCTCTTCGTGAGTAGTGGTTGTGGCGGTAACCGCCTGTTTGGGCTCTTCCTTGTAGGCTAGAGTGGAGAGTGGCTGGTCAGCGCTGGCTCCGGCTGTGTCTCTGGTACTGACCCCTTACACCGCTGGGGGGGGTACTAAGCCGGGGACAGCAGAGCAGACAGGGTGAGGATGGACCTACTGGAGGGAAAGATGCTCAGAGGAACAGGCACGCGCGCCTCGTAATCCAGTTTGCCGACTGGGCAAGTGCAGCCTTCGAGACAGAAGACTACTCTTGCGCTCCAAGGAGAAGTCGAACAGATAAAAGTTTAGGAAGAAGCGCGGTTGGAATGCGACTTCTTCTGGGGCTTTCGGGTCTGTTCTTCTTGGGGTTTTTGTAGGTGTCTGGATCTGAGTGGATGGGAGAGAGAGAGTTTGGCACTCCAATGCTCAAGTCGGCCGGGCTTTTCTACTGCAGCCTCTGAACTAGCGACAGGGGTCCCTGTTGTTTACTGTTTATTATTATTTGCTGCTTTTATTGCCAGATGCAGCTGCTAGCTTGCTGGGCTCCCAGCCCCCTCCCCCGTCCAACCAATAGTCGTCCGGGACACCCCTGCTGGCGAGACGCGCGACCGCCCAGCCACCACCCAGCAACCATCCGTTCCCACCATCACCACCACCCCCAGAGGCTGCAGGGCCTGGATCTTGGCAGGCCCTGGTCATGGCAACATCATGGCACGCCAGCCAGGCCAGGAAGGGCCGACGGGACTGCCATTGTCGAGTAACCCGCTCGGCTTTGCGGCCTTGGTTTTATTCCGGGCTGGCGCGGACGCTATGGTTTCTTTGCTTGCGGGAGGAGGAGGGTTGAAATAAGGGGTCTTTCTCCTCTCCTCTCCTGACGACACCGCCCAGGAGAAGCGGCGAGGGGGGCGAGCCCCGAGCATCCAAGAGCTGGGCCGGATGAGCGGGCAAACGAGCAAGAAACCCTGGCGCATAATGCATATTGCGCGGCGGCACAACATCGCCGATCTGCCTTGATTTGGGGGGAGGCTGGAGGACTTGGAAGACCACAGGAGGCAGCCATCACCGCGCTTCCCTGCGCTCAAACGAAAGTCAATTGGGTAGTCAGACATGGATGGCCACGGCTGGTGGCAGGCGGTGGCCGAACGGCCGCAGGTGGTGGCAGACGGTGGCAGGCGCGGTCGTGCCCCCAACCTCCCCTTCCCGCCTCTTTCCTGCCTTCTCCTGCCTCCTCCCCCCTCGCCGTGCGCCTTCTTTTTTAGCACTTCCCAATAGACGGGCTTGCAGCTGCGTGCTGCAGCAGCAACCTTTTCGGGGCGGCCAGTCGTGGAACGACCTCATTGGACGCCAAGCCATAGCCAATCTTGACACGCCAAAGACCCAAACCTGGTCCTCGCTCCGAAAAATCAAACATCAGCTGGCGTGGTCTCTTTGATTGCAATCTGGGCCCTGCTCGTTGCCCAGCTCCCACCGGCCAGCAGTCCAAGCTCAGCTCCCCAAAGCCAGACGATGGCGCGGTTGCCATGGCCACCAGACAATCGAAATTACCCACCCGCCCAGCTCCTCCTTGCACGCGCAGCTCTCGTCTTGTTCCGGCCTGCCATCAGCTGTGGAGGCCTGACCGGACCCCCTGGAGATGCGCAAGATTGACGGGGGGGCTTGGAGCCCCGAGCTGCAGCTGTTGGAGCTCAAGTGGGGCGGTGGGTCCGGTGGATTGATCCGTGCTTGCTTCACGTGAAGCAATTGGTCTCGGGAGAGGCCGCGGCCCCTCGCTTGCAACCAGCCCGCCCTGGAAAATGCCAGCCGATTACGAGCAGGAGTGGGCCAATGCCGGGGGAAATCGTGTCTGGCCAAGTGGTCGGAAGCTGGAGGTGGGCAAACACGGGTTCGGTTGTTTGTTGCCGGCTTTGGATGCAGGCGAGCCTCACGCTCCCGTCTGGTCCAGTCTCTGCTGTCTGTATTCTGGTATTCTGGTGTTGTGGTATTCTAGAGGCATCTCTGAATGCTGTTTGGTGGCTTTTGGCTTTTGCCACCTTTCGTTTACCTGCCAGGACTGCGGGCAGCTGCAGTGCAAGCCCAATCCCCACGTCGTGCTGCAGTGCAGCGCAGTATACATAGTAGACCCTCCACGCCGCCTTGACTTGATGAAAGAGGCCAATTCAAGGCTGTCTTTCCGTCATTCACGGGCCATGTAGGGCATGAATGCCTCGCCCGGCCCGAACAAGCCCCGTCCCGAGATCCATACTGCTCACCGAGAAGATCTGGCAAGCTGCGCTGGCTGGCCAGCACCAAGCGGATCTGGGCCTCACCGGCTCTTTGTGGGCTCTACCGCAGTACCGCAGTATGACATGGCCAGCATGCCCAGCAGTACCAGCCCAGCTGTCCTGCTGTGAGACCTTGGGACTGCCGACCGGCGGAGCCCGCCCTGGCATCAGCACGTTCCGACATGGTGTCGGTGTGCTCCCAAGAATCGCCCGATTGCTAATGACGCGACGCTGTCGACCCTATCCGACGGGGCTGCGCTGTCACAGTGTCAAAAATATGAGACATAATCGCGTCCGTGCCTCAGGCGGCTCAGGCGGCTACCCAGGTACTGCTCGATCAGCAGCGTAGCCCAGGAGATACCAACGGCAGGAAATAGCTATGATATGGAAACAAGGAAGAACGCGGGAGACATGGAATGATATAGGAAAGGGAAATAGGAAAGCAGACAAAAGTACGGCTACTCTGATGAACTGTGGTTGCGATTCACTCGATTTTGCCTTGGTCGGTGTGTTGGGTTCACAACGGAGGTCATTCATTTGCTTTTGTTTTTCTGCCTCAACCTTGATTCTCACTTCCCTGAGACGGGCCAGCGCTTGCCGGAAATCAGGGCCGTCGTGACAGAGCTGCCTGGTTGACGAAAATGTGATCTAGCCAAGGAATGCGAGATCGGAGGTTGAGAATCCATCCATGGACGCAAATAAATCCCTGATTCGGTCTCCCCACACTCCCGATCTCACCAAGATGAAATCGCTTGCGTGTCGCTTCCCCACCGCCTCCAAATCCCCAGCCTTGGTCGTGCATTCCTCGTGTCACCATGCTGGCCACGGCCCTGGTTTGCGCACGCAAGGTGTCTCCGTGCGTCCTGGCTGGTGCGGCTTTCGTCACGGTCGTGTCAGTCCTCGGTGCCGCGGTCGTGAGGGGGCGGGGTGGTCGACTCGGGGGTGCGAACGGAGCAAAAGAGCCGTCGCCAACTTTCTGGATTGACGCGCCGAGGGAACCACAATCGCAGGTCGTATCGGCGCACGAGGCTGGGAGTCTTCCATACCCCCAAGATGCTCTTCCGGGAGGCAGGGACGCCGAAACGCCCTATGGGACCATCCGCGTGTTCGAATGGGGTCCTGAGGATGGCGAGCGTGTGCTGCTCCTCCACGGAATTAGCACGCCTTGTCTGGCCCTCGGAGGGATAGCGCACACGCTTGTCGAGTCTGGGTACAGGGTCATGCTGTTTGGTGCGTTTTGAACATGCATGTTCGTCACAACGCGTGCACAAGATGGCCAGTTAACATCTCGGAATTTATGCCAGACTTCTTTGGGAGGGGTTACTCTGACACACCGGCTGGCCTGTCGTTTGACCTGCGCCTCTACTCATCACAAATCCTTTTGGTCCTCGCCTCGTCCAGCCTGCCATGGACGGGTGATGGCGGGTTCCACCTGATGGGCTATTCCCTGGGCGGTGGTGTGGCCGCATCTTTCGCGAGCTACTTTCCCCATATGCTTCGTTCACTCACTCTCGTTGCCGGAGGAGGCCTCATCCGCCGTGCGCACGCCAGCTGGACGAGCAAGCTGCTGTACTCCAGCGGCATCCTCCCGAACTGGCTGCTCGAAAGGCTGATCCGGTCGAGGCTGATGCCTGCCAAGCAGCAGCTGGGGCGACACCCCCGGCCGGAAGACTGCGGGCCGGGTCCGACCGCTCCGCCCGAGCAGCCGGCGGCACTTGCGGAGGCGGATATGCTTTTAGCGGATCTCCGGGCGCCGGGCCGCGGCGATGTCCGGCCGCATGGCAATAGCGACGCAAGTGGCGGCGACTCGTTCGACAACGCCGTGCTCCCAAACGGCGCCACTGTTGCGTCTGTCATGGAGTGGCAGCTCCGGAACCACGCAGGCTTCGTGCGTGCTTTTATGAGCACGCTGAACCACGGCCCGATATTTGAAGAGCGTGAGACCTGGCGCAGACTAGGGTCCCGGCTGGCCGAGCGCCGTCATCCGCGGGCCGGCAGCAATGGCACCGGCCATCAGAAACTTGAGCCGGGGCTTACAGGCGGCAAAGTGCTCCTCGTGCTCGGGGCGTCGGACCCGGTCATTGTGATGGATGAGCTGGTTCCGGACGCCACCAATGTCCTGGGGCCTGACGGCCTTCAGACCGTGGTGCTTGACGCGGGACACGAGGTAGCCATAGTCAAGGGGCCCGAGGTCGCGATGGCCGCAATGCAGTTCTGGGAGCAGAGTGCCAAACCAACCAACTCCCCCAAGGACTCTCTAGCTAGCACGTTCGGTATATAAGACGTGGCAGACCTAGACATACGTAGACGCCTAGATTTCCTAGACCTAGAACATAGAGGGTGTTATACGACCGTACTGCCGCAGCAAGGACCGCCACTGCGGTGCTTGATTGTGTCCAACCTTTCGAGCCACGCTCACACGTTGTGGATTCAAGAGCAGTAGATACAGGAGGACTGGTTCAATCTCCCACTCAACCAAGGGGATGCCTACTGAAAGGATCCCCCAATGCCAAAGCGCCTTTGAAGTTGAGGCGCCTCATCACATGGTCGGGTGGTTGTTGAAGAAAAGCAAGATTTTTTCTTGACCCGCTCCACGTCCGAATTTTTACATGGTTTGCGGCACGTGAATGAGGAACTCGGTGGCCCCTCCACGTGACGATTGAAAGAGGCGGAATTGTTGAGCCGCAAGTTAAAGCCCCACTCCAAACAGCAGAATCTGCTGGTCGCCCTCATGCAACTTCTCTACTTCTAACCACGCCTTCTTCCCTATTCTTTCTGACTTGCCCGCAACGCTTCGTTGCCGTCCAACGAGCCTGCTCCCGGCGAGAAGATGCGCAACTATTCCATTTTTCGATGAGCCGGGTCTAGTTCCATCCAGCGCAATGGAGTCGCTCAGCGAAACAGTCTGGGATGTCGTAATTTGTGGCACAGGCCTGTCGCAGTCTCTGCTCGCCCTGTGAGTACAGCCCCCTCCGATGGACGTCACCCAGCCGAGTCTTCCACTCTTCTTCTTCTTCTCCGTCGCCCTTCTAACTAACCCAGTCTCGTCTGATGCGGAACTAAAGTTCTCTGTCCAGATCCGACAAGAAGGTGCTGCACATAGACCCCAACGATTTCTACGGCGGGTCAGAGGCAGCCTTGAGCCTGCAGGAGTCTGAGGACTGGGCAAAGCAGCACGAGGCGCCATCGGCCGCTGCCGCTCCGAGTGGGGCGCCGGCAGAGTCTCTGGCGACTTCGATCTTCACGTCGGCACGCGTCACCAAGCCCGAAGATGGCGTCGGCCTCTCGTTTGCACGCGCCTACTCCCTCGCACTGGCCCCCCAGCTGGTGCATGCCCGCTCTCAGCTCGTGACCCAACTCGTTTCCTCGCGCGCCTTCCGGCAGCTGGAGTTCCTGGCCGTCGGCTCCTTCTTTGTGCTCGCACGTCGCCTCCCAGACGACGAAGCGGCCGCCGGGTCGCCGCACAAGCTCACACGCATTCCCTCCACCCGCGAGGATGTCTTCTCGGACGATTCAATCCCTGCCCGCGCCAAGCGGTCGCTGATGAAGTTCCTCAAGTTCGTTTTGGATTACAACTCGGACACCCAGACCGAGTTGTGGCGCGAGGATGCGGACCGGCCCCTCGCCGGATTTCTGGAGAGGCGCTTCAAGCTCGATCAGGACCTCCGGGCCTATGTCCTTACCCTCACCCTCTCACCCGACGGCGCCATCACGACCAAAGACGGCCTGGTCATCATCCATCGTCATCTGACGTCGATGGGCTACTTCGGCCCCGGGTTCGCTGCCGTATACCCCAAGTGGGGTGGCGCTGGTGAGATTGCCCAGGTGGCCTGCAGAGCGGGTGCTGTTGGTGGCGGCGTCTACATGCTGGGCACCGGCATTGCAAACATGAGAACACCATCCTCTGAATCTGCTGATGACGGAGAGATCCTCGAGCTCGATTTGACAAACGGGACCACTGTAAAAACAAAGCTGCTCGTCCGCGGTCGCGAGGAGGTCCCGGTGACGAACCACGAACCCATAGAACGGGTTAGTCGCCTTGTTGCCGTCGTCAATTCGCCCTTGACATCGATTTTTGACACTGTTGTCGAGGGAGCACCTATCCCTGCCGTCGCTGTCATTGCTTGTCCACCCCAAACCTTGGACGTGCCATCAGAGGCAGCATCGCAGGACTATCCTGTCTACGCCCTCGTTCACTCGAGTGACACGGGAGAGTGTCCACCTGGTCAAAGTAAGTCTTGAAATCCTCTACTTGTTTGATAACTCACCGCCCACTTGCCCATTTTCCCCAACCCGAGCATCATGATGATTCAACCTTCGAATACTTATCTACATTATCGGAGCTACATGCTTTGACGATAACAACCTCTGACAAACTGATTTGCTCAACTCTTTTTCATGTTTTTGATCGCATCATTCACGCACAAGATCTGGGTAATATGCTAACTGTCTTCTGCGTTGCAGCTGTAATCTACCTTAGTACGCACACCACAGCACACGCCCAACAGATTCTCGAGCAGAGCCTCACTTCCGTCCTTGCCGCTATCAACAGCACCGAGGCTCCAAGGTGCCTGTACCAGGTCTACTACGAGCAGAGTAGCACCTCGTCCGCAGTCCAGGTGGATGGACGGATAGTCACATTGCCCGCACCTTCTCCTGCCCTTGCCGTGTCGGATGAGATCCTCGACTCAGTACATGACGCTTGGAGGGCTGCAATGGGACCCGAAGCCCAGGCGCATGAAGACGGGTACATGAAATTTGTTGATCGAGAAGTTATGGACGATGACGATGATGTTTAAAGCAGATAGCAGCCTTGGCAGTTAGCATCGTTGATGATTTTAATGGTGACCAGCGATTTGATTTGGGTTCTTTGCCCCATCACTAGCTCCCTCGTGCAAGTTTGTTATGTCCCTGTGTGTAGGCAATGTAGCTAAGTGTCCTCCCCAACCAAGGTCATGCAGTCGGTTGATGATCACCCATTCCTTTCCATCTTGATAGCAAATCGAACCCTCGCCACTCCTGTCAGATCGCTCTCGCTCATTATAGGACAACTCCAAACTCCCATATGGCCTGGAAGAAATTGCCAAGGTCAAAGAAAAAAACGCCACGTCTGCCGCAAAGGCTATCCTCAAACGCAAAGAAACACATGTCCCATATCGGCTCCTCTCCGTGCAAAAGTACGGATGTGCCAGCCCAAATCGAGAAATTAAAAAAAAAAAAAAAAAAGACCCATATAAACCCCCAAATCCCGAATGCCTGTAGCCCTCGCCGCGTAGGTCTGGAGGTTGTGACGCGTCGCTCCTTTCGATGGGTCTCAAAAAGCTCTCGCATCACCTAGTGCAGGGTTATATGCGTAAGTGCTATTAGCACAAAAGTATTTTATCGAGTTTGCTTACCATCGTCGAGCTTTTCGCGGAACGAATTGCCGAGCATGGGGAGGCCCGTCTACAGCGCGAACGAATTTTCGCCGCCGCTGCCCCAGTCGTCTCCCACCTTGACAATCTTAGGGGTCAGGTCGTGCAGCGCCTTGATGAGTGCTGCCAGGCGGTCCTAGCTGGCGTGCGAAGTCGTGAACGAGGTCCCAGAACCACCAGAGGAAGGAGCCCGCCGTGCCGTCATTACCGCTATTCATCTCCGTCCTGGTCTTCGTGGCCGTGGCTAGCCATCGGCACGCCAATACGGATGGGCTTGAAAGGCTCGTTGGTGTCCCGCCCGTCCTGATCGACCTTGAGTACTCTTCCGGTGGTGAGGCAGAGGACCTGGTAGAATGCGTGTGCCGCGACGGACTGGGTTCCGGGAAGGGGTTGGACGACCTGGTCGAAATCAACCCACAGCAGCCCTTGGTCCTCGTCGTCGCCGCGCGAGCTGCCCGTCTTGTTCGCCTCGCCCCGCAGGAAGTCGAGGAACCTCCGGCCCTCCATGCTGGCCGCGCCCTCGGAGCCGAGGTTGCCGCTGTCTTGCTCGTCGTGATCGGGCAGCCAGCCCTTGTCGGCAGATCCAAAGCCGCTCTCGCCGCCGCCGCCGAGGCTTGGCCCGTCGGAGCCCACGTGGTCGCTGAAGCGCTCGATGCCCTGGACCATGCTCCCGCGGTGCTGTAGCGGGCTCTCGGAGACGTTGGCAGGGCCGCCGCCGGGCAGAACGCTTCGTCTGGCGCTGCTCCCCTTCAGGGACGATCCCGGGACGACAGAAGACTGGCGATGCCATGGCATAGACGGCTGGTCCGAGAGGGCATGGCCAATCTCTCGGCCGACCTCTGACGGAGGCTCTGCGTCCTCGGGCAGCAGTTGTGTGCCACCCTCGAGCTGACTTGGGCCGAGTCCGTCCCGAGGCTGGACAAGCTGATCCTCGTCCGATCGCTGTCGCACCCGACGCCCCTCCTCTTCCTCTGCATCCGCTCCGAACGCCTGTGACGCGGATCTGCATCGGCCGCCTCGTGGCTCAGGTTCGGATGGCTGACCGAGCACCTGTCCGAACAAAGTACGCTGGAGACCCTCTCCGGAGAACATATCGGTGAGCGGGTGAACGAAGTTAGGGAGACCAAAGTCCCAGCCAAAGCCACCTATCCCACGGCCAAAGAGTCTGTGGTAGGCTTCCTTCCTGGCCTGCTCCTTGGTGACAGGCTCACGGCGGCCGTTGATCTGCACCTGCTCTTCCTCCATCCGCTTCATGTAGTCGGTGTACCACATTCTGTACTCGTTCCTGCTGATCTTGGTATCCCGGTCCGGCGCGATGACTCGTCGTTTTCTTCCCCGCCGTCGAGCTGGAGCGGCAGCGGCGATAATCTCCTGCTGCTGCTCAATATCCTGCTCGTCTTGGTCCTGACGATCTTGGCGGGCAGGTAGAGCCTCCGCGTCTGGCAGCGGCTGGTCCTCTAGAATAAGCGGCTGCTCGTCTTCGGGGACCACAGGCGCGGTGGCATCTTGCTGCTGAGCGGATGGGCCACCCAAATCTGGCTGTGGGACCTCGGGCACATCTACCTCGGCTGGCTTGGGCGGACGGAGATCGACAATGTTTCCGTCGGCATCGATCGTAAACAGGTCATCGTCAAAGTGTATAGGCTCCTCTTCAGCAAACGGGTCGAGATCTACTCGCGGCTTCTGCGCCGAGCTTCCGCCAGCAAACGGGGAATCCAGACCGTAACCGCCGAGGAACGAGTCGTGATCCAGATCTAAGCGCATTGAGCTTCGCCCACCAGATGACCCGGATCTAGACCTTCCATACGGAGACAGCTGAGAGTACAGATTGGCTGTCTGCTGAGTGCCGTTGGGTAGGGCGGCATCTCCCATCTCATCGAGTTCGAAGCGAGGGAGGTCGAAGTTGCCGATGTGGAAGTTGGGATCGTCCGCAAGTATCAGTTGCTTCCTCCTGTTTGGCAGCATATTAGATGCTTTTCCCAAAGTTTCAAGCTTTGCCAACGTGAGTGAAGATACGGGAATGCGGGAGGGTCCCGACGCACTTTGCCTTTCCAGCGTTTGGATCCAGAGTGTCGGACAACGCCATGTTCCTGAACAAGATGGATATTCCCAGCCGCGCCTTCTCTGCATCGCCCAGAAGGTAGTCGTATTGCTGAGAGTACGCACGAGAGACACCATACAGCAGACTAGCCTGGAGACGGAGTGCGATTGGGGCTCCCGGAGGGTTGTCGATGGTCATGCAGGCCTTGGGAACATCGACTTCTTGGATTGCCTTCCGCGAGATCCGTCGGCCACCACAGTTCTGGCCCAGCGTAGCCAGGACCCTGGTAGAATCGGATAGTTTGTTAGACGCGACGGTTCTAGATATCAGACAGCACACGCGTGAGGGAGAACGATCTCACCAGACCGTTGCGACGCCATGCTGATGGCTGGTTAGAACTGGAAGTCGGATATCTCGGTCAGCCCCTCTACCAGAAGACAGAAGCCAGGCACATTCAGGAGTCTTACTCTCGTGACTGTAGAACATTGCTTCAAGCACGCTCGAGCTAACCAGTGGTGACAGTCAAGGGGGCTTCAGTAGTGCTGGGTGACTGTTTTGCGGTGGTTGAGACCGAGGTGAGGTCAAGGTGATATCGCCCAAGGCTGGAGGCGTATCCCTCGAAGTCGTCGAGCTGAGGGAACTCTCGAGCGAGGTAACAAGGGGCTAGACCAAGATGTTGAGAGATGCGCACCTGCTAGAGGCCAGGGAAATAATCGCATGCAGGTCTTGTGGCTAGGTACCGAGGTGGGTGGGTGGTATATGTTGGAGGAGAGGTGGTCGCTCTGGCTTTGGTGGTTATGGGATGGGAAAGAAAAAGATCATTCCGATGAAATATTGTGGGCCCACCGGTGCCTGAACTCGTTTGTGAGGGCTTGAGTCCCTTTGTGTCTGGTGCTAGCTGGTATGTGCCGCGAGCGACGGAAGGTGCGATCGTGCCTGCCTCAACTGGGCTCTGCGTGGAGGAGTCACCAGCGGGGCCATGAAGAAGCTGGCCACCACCAAAAAGCTCACACAAATCAGGCAATGAGACTGCAATGCGTGCCTATATTCGAGGCTTCCTTTGGACACTGCCTCCATCCGTAAAACAGGGTGTTGTCTGTCCGAGTGCCCATTATCAGAAAGCTAGCGGAAACATCCAATCTTTCTTCACGTCCGTTCTTCTTCCCACGACAAACACCGCGTAGCTTCCATTACCAATGTTCCTTCCTAGCCAGAACTGCGCATCAGAGCATAGTACGGCTCGCGCTTCTTCTCCTTTCTCTCGTGCATGTGCGCCAGCTGCATCATGAGCCGGCTCCAGGTCAGCTTCCTGGGGCTGCCCTCCTTAGCCAACAAGTCCTTGACGAGCCGAGCGTGGATCTCGGGGTAGGTTTTCTTCAACCCGTCGATGGCATACCAGAGCATCTTGGTGTCGCCCTCGGCCCTGTTGCAACGCCCAAATCGGAGCATCCTCATTAGAAATCATCAAAGTTGGGGGAGGCGGATATGGGCTAAAGAGGTGCCGCTACTCACCCAGAGAGATGGCCGATCAGGAGCATGCGTCCTCGCAGATACTGGAGGCGGTCCTGGAACGCGCGGATGGTGTCGAAGCTCGTGCTGCTGATGAATTTCAGCTCGTTGATCTCCAGGTCGCCGTTCACCGAGGCGTTGCGGGAGAAGGCGTCCTTTATTGACCAGAAGTAGCGCGCCGGGTCCGTTTCGCCGGCATCCCATCCCTGGTTGAGAAGCCAGTGTCGGACGGGAGAGATGGAGGCACCAAGGAGGACGAGAACTTGGGCTCGCTCCAGCCCGCCATCGCGGGCCGCGTCGACACTGGTGTCCCCGTCCACCTCCGCCGGCGCCTCGTCGTCCCCGTTCTTGCCCTTGTCCTGTGTGTCTGCTGTAGTCGATGGGCCAGCCTCTCCCCCACTCGAGCCTCCGAGGATATCATCCAGAAACTCGAGCGATATCTTGGGAATCGCCTCCGTCTTCTTGGCGCTCCTGCTACTGCCGGGTCTGGCGCCATTCCTCTCGGGTTTCTTCTCGATTTGCTTGCTAGCTAGCACGGCCTCCGTTGCTCCCGTGTTCCGGCGCTCTTTGCCGGTGGGTGACTTTTCCGGGGCCGGAGGGCCTGGGTATCTTCGTGGGTCCTTGATGACATGCTCCAGCTTCTTCGCTCGGAGGAATTTGATCAAGAGATCCTCCCACTCATCCAAATCACTCTCGCCTCGAAGGGTTGGCAGGAGAGGTGAGGGCGTCACGCATGGCTGCGGCGGGGTCTCGGTGGGCACCATCGTGAAACCTGGTTTGGCCTCGACGTCGCCGGAGGAGAGGCAGGTAGCCCTTTCGGAGCCCAGACGATGTAGATAGCAGGATTGTGGTCGAGGAGCAGGAATCCACAGCACGGAGGGTCAGGTCGAGTTGATTTGCCTGGACCAAGTTGAGTGACTCCCAACGCGATCTGACTTTACTTTGACCATAAAGTCATATTGATGACACCTGATATATCAGTCCAAACGACCTCGCAGCCTGACAAGCCAGCAATTCGACCATTGTCAGAGTATATTGCGTAGTCGACATCCTACCTCCCATATCTGGGTTCCAATATCCGAGGGTTTTTTTATGACAATTTCGTGAGCAAGAAGCGCAAGGCACGAGTGAATGCAAATATTCAATCAGTGTCACCAAGATACAACCATCGCCCGGTTCATCATTTTATGTGCCGTCACACCTGGCTACAGCAACTACAGCTAGCATACTCGAAATGCATCCGTAGGAAGCATCTGTATATCCACCGCTACGGATGTCAATATAAATCATGAGATGGGATTGGACAGGAAACGAATGTATACTGCGCCCCAATGCTGTATATAATTCACTTTAGAAGAGGCAGAGCCAGTATCACAAAAAGCCTATCCTATGCCCCCCCTCGAAGTCACAGAGAACAGCCTAGCATGGCCGCAACGGCGGGTGTCCGAAATCCGGCTAGCCGGGCTTAGAGGCGCTTGGGGGCGGTCCCGGCGCCCCGGCGCCCGGCCCTCCCCGTCTGTGTCACTTGACCCGGGTCATAGGGCCGAGGATGCAGCCACGTTTCCCGATGGCGGCGTTCTAGGCGCCGCCTTGCAGGATCGATAGTCGGCCCGGGTCACCTGTCCGGCGGTGCTAAGAAAAGCTTTGCAGGTTTCACGGGGCCAGGACGGAAAGCAAGTGCAAAGCATGAAGGGAGGCAGTGGGTAGGTTGGGTACCTAGGTCAGTCCCCAGCCTGGCCGTGCTGCCCAACCGGCTCCAAGGCCACAACACCAAGGCCTGATGTCGACGGTTGCCCCCTCCCTCCCACCTCCTAGCTAAGCCCATTTGAGACTGCTTGTGTCACGCAAACGCGGGCAACGGTAAAAAAGGAAAATGGCCGCCGGCTGTTGCCTGGGCACGCTGATACTCTTGGTGGTGGTGGCGTTTTTATTTTATTTTCTATTTTTTACTTTTATTTATTATTCTTCTTGCCTGGTGTGACGGAGCTGGCTGGGGAGCGCTGGTCTAGGGCCGCTCTGTGTCACGGCGCCGGTTCAGCTCGGTGAGAAGGCTGACATCGACGTCAGTGTCACCCGCCGTCACATTGCACAGTCCCTTCAGGGCTAGGCAAGTAGGTATTACCGCTTATCTTTCGTTTTATTTTCTTCTCTCTGCCCAGCCTTGCTTTTCCCGCCTCGGCTCTCTTGCCCGGTCGGGCATAGCAAATGGGGCAAGCAGATCTTCGGCCGACTGAACGATGGGTGACGTTAGCCCGCCACCCCTGAGAATCTCAATACGAAATGAACCCAAAAAATATCCATCCCGTGCCAATTTCCGTTCTCGACACACACAAGATCTCAACCGCGGCTTGCGGCATCGCCTTCCTTAGCCTCTCCAGACAAACAAGGGGGGGATGGGAGGGAGGGAGACGACACGGCATGAGTGGAGGAGGGGCGTCTAGCGGCTGCAAGGGAGAGTGAGGCCAACGCCTGCTGCACTTCTTTTCCTTTCTCAACGGCATCAAGCCACGGCAAGGATGGGCGAGGAGCAGGTCCGCCTGATACCGACTGGGCTTTCACGACGAGGAGCATCACGCCCTATTCTCGATCCGGCTTAGCAGCGCTGGAGCCCCCCCCCCCTCCTTGGCGGCGAGGCTCGCTCCATCATGATTCTCCTTCATTCACAGAGCGAGGCGGCCGGCGGATGAACCGTTTCTGCCCCCCGAGATTCCACCGCCTCTCTTAGCCCTCGGCAGAAGCAAAAAAGAACATGAGAACGCGAGTCGGCCGGAAACGCACTAACGAAATCCTGCATGCGACCTGCAGAATGCATTTGCCAATTTCAATGTGGCTAGGAGAAAGCCATTCCTCATACACTATCTCGTGTTTGTGCATATTTGTGGGTGAATCCAAGCCCCTTGCAGAAACAGAGCCAAGTGCAGTTGGAAATAAATAAATAAAATACAGTTTGATGACGACCAAAAAAGGCAAGATTCAGAAACCATGTCGTGATGCTCAGAGCTGCCGCAAAGGAAGCAAAACGCGTCTTTGGTGCCCGACTCAAGATGCGTCGCATCCCGGTAGACCCGTGCCCACCGATGTCACCCTCCAGGTGTCATGCAAGGTCATTACCCATCAGGGGCAAGGGAAAGGGGCCCCTGAACAGGTCAACTCGTGGTAGCCCGGACCACGCCCTCTTTTGCCCTTGTGACCCTGGCAAACCTTGAACTGTGGGTGGAGCTGGGGGAGTGCAGAGGAAGGGGGAGAGAAAAGATAGGATAAAAAAAAAAGGCTGGGGTTCCTTTTTGCGTGTGTTTGGATGTGACGCTACTCCATCGGGTACCAAAATAATTCAACAGACCCAGAGTGAAGCAGGAACGGAAAAGAAAAAGGCTGGCTTCGACAAGGACAGGGATGGGGATAGGAAACCCCCTGATCACATTTGGGGGCCTGGTCTGTTCTTTCCTCCTGTCACCCTGTTCCTGGGGGCCTGGTGGGAGAGACGGAAGCTAGCGTGGGCAGGGGTTGAGAGGGAGGGAGGGGAGGGCGAGGGCTTGCCCCCGCGCCCGCCAGCCCGTCGGTCCCAACTGCTGCGTTGCCGCCTCCAAGGGCAAGGCGGTACGTCCAGGGTCTTGTGCGTGTTCATGTCCTTGTGGTGCGCGCGCGCGCGCGCTGACTGCCGTGCATGGATGGGATGGGCGGGATGGGGAAGGGGGAAACATATCGATGGGAGGGCCTCTCTTGAGCTATAATGTTACTCAACCCATCTCGAGTATCGAACATCAGGCCATGCATACATGCGCGTACATTAGACCGCGCATCATTGGGAAAACACGGTGAGGACGCATGAAGCAAGAGAACCGATAAGAGCTGCAATTACAACACTGTGGCAGCAGAAGGAAGGGGGAAGGGACAGGAGGGCGGGACTGCACCACAACTTGCCGGCCGCGCTAGCCGTTGAGCCCACTAAGGAGTTTCATGGAGCGTGGCTGAGAGGAAAACAAAATAGAACCCGAGGATGCATCAACCCACATCCAAAAGAAAGAAGAACAAGCGGGCGGAAGTAGGAAAGCGCAAGCGAGCCGGAGACCTGCAGCAGGATACGTTCCAGCCCAAGGCTCGGGACATGATTCCGGCAACTGTTGTTTGTGAGGGAAAACCGGTGATTGTCACGCAGAGCCATCCGCTTTCACAGCCGGCAAGAAAAACACACAGACCAAAACACAGCACGGACTCTTACGAGTCACAAAAACCGGGTTTGTTCTCGTACTGGTTCCATCGCCGTTCAGCCAACCACCCCCGAGCGAGCACGGACGTATAGCCTAGAGCGCGGCGTGGCGTGGGAATGAGTGGCCTCCCAAGTCGGTTCTAGCGGACTCCAAACACGAGCGAGGGAACAGCAAATCATGCAGCGTGCTGAAAAATACCTGCTTCAGGTATAATAAGTTGGGGGCGTGGGCGAGAAAAAGCGACGAGGCCAATAATGGAAGAGGGCGGAACCCGCGCCTTCCGGCCGGTAGACCTGTCGTTTTTCAGCCCACCACGCCCCCAATATTCCCGCTGCTTGACCTTTCGGTCTGGCGGTGTGGGGGACATATCAGAGGGAACGAGCCGGAGAGCATACGGATGGAGGGAAAGGAGGGGGGTGTGATGGATGTGAGGGAGAGAAGAAAAAAATGGCTCGTTTGCGTTGGCGCCTTGCGATTGGGTAGTCAACTAACCGAGCTGTGGATGGAATCACAACGCTCGTTGCAATCATGGCTGGAACAAGCCAGCAAGGGAGAAGGCCACCGATAATCTCCCAAGCCATCCGTTCTTTTTTTTTTTTTTGCCTTCATGTCAACCAGATCGTGCGGTGAGCGAGACCCGAGCCGGGACTTGTTCCCGGCCTGCCTGCCGGCAACGCTCACCTCTCTCCCTGGGCATCAGCTCAACCCTCGCTAGCACCCGCATGCTGGTTGGGCGGTCAAGCTGCGAACAGACAAATCAACTGCGTGTCGCTTGCCCCTTGTCACCACCTTCTTTTTTAGGTGGGTTGGGGGCCAGAGTTGAAGGCCCATGTTCTCCCCCATGTACCTAGTATCTGCCTGGGTGCCTGGCTTCCCGCGCATAGCGGCAAACACGTAGTAACAAGGGGTGCGGCGGAGAAGAAGAACAGAAGACAGAAGAAAAGGCGGGAAATTGAGATTCGGCAGGAGCCAGCTGGCCCCCTCGCCGCCGTTAGTGATCGGCGATATGGGTGGAGTAAACGAGCAGCTTGGAAAAGAGAAGAACGAACGGGGAGACAGGCAAGCTACTTCCGCCACTTCCATACCATGCTCGAAATCATTACGTCTGACAACCAGCGTCAATCTCGGACCTTTGAGGAACCCATACGACGTGGTATCACATGCGTATGGCGTGGCTGCGGTCTTTCTCTCTTTCCTCCCTTTGTTTCTTGCCCCTTGGGCGGAAAAATCATGATCATTTCTTTTCGGGATGGATGCCCTCACGGCCGGTTTACTGTGCAAAGTCGAAACGGATCGGCGTCTGAATTCCACACACCCTTCTCTCGCCCGCCACCCAAGAGTCGTGGGGGTTGCAGCATCCGGTCATGCCTGCAACAGCAAGTGGTCTCCTGCTTCTCCAACACCGGGAGGCTTTCCCCATCAGCCAGCTCAAATCCCTGCTTTTTTCCCCTTCCTGCAGACCGTGAAGGAGGGTCCAATTCGACAGTGATTGGCAATTGGGGATGCGCCTTTGCATTTGGGTGCCTCTCGAGTACGCCCTTGGCTGCATGAGAAATCCCGACATCCCCCCAATTTGAGTTTGGGGCGTTTGTGAAGATTGCGTGGCACCATCAGATGTGCGAGCTGTAAGGCGAACGTGCAACGAAAACAGATCTGATATCGTCATGAGCTTTCAAGAGCAAGAGAGGGCCCAGCCCCTCTTGGGAGTTCACGGAGCGTGATGATTGCGTGCCATCTGAACTTGGGTACGGCAAGTTCGTCTGCGATCAAGGAGTTTGTGCAGGGACATGGAGGGCATGCAAAAAGCTATAGGGCTGAGAATGAGCACAACCGTTTCTGGGGGACGGGCGGACAGGGGACTGGACGGACAGCGGGCAGCGGGCAGCCGCTGGCCAGGAAGGGCTGGCAACACATCCTGTGCTGGACAGGGCAAGGGTGAGGGCAAGGGTGAGGGCAAAGGCGGAGGGAATGGAGTCAGAGAGGCGGGCAGGTTCAGCGCAGCAGCACCAAAAGGCTGGTGACAGTCAGCAGAACGACAAGACGGACGTTCCCCGGTTCGTAGGTGAGGCGGCTTCCCCTGGAAAGCGCGGCTCGCTCCAAGGTCATGCTTGCATGAGGCGATGGGTCTCTGAGCTTTCTGTTGGAGCGGGTTGAAACAGGGGGGAGGCCGTGAAGGGGGGGCCGGCCAGATCTCGCGGCCGCCACCCATGTCCTGCTCTGCGACCATTGGCCTCTGGGAAGGGTCTGCGATCTCTCGAAGGATTCCATGTCATAAAACCAAGACCTATCGGCGGCAGACTGGGGCTGGACTGCCGTAGCACCGAGGCGATGGATTCGCGAGGCTACCTAGGCTCCGGCAGGCAGGCAGGCAGGCAGACACACGTCACACCGACCGTTACCGTATTCACGCCCTTATGAAGCCAGCGCATGAAAAGCGCAACGCCCAAAAAAGCAAAGAGGAACAGGAGAAGACGGGGTACCGGGTGTACGGAACGAAGCCGGTGCGGTGGCCGGCCGGATTGAAACAGCCAGTCACCAGAGTATCGGTGAGGGTTTCGAGGAGCGGGGTGAGACAGAAAGACCCGAGAAGCCAAGGCGAGCGGAGGAGGTCAAGCCGCCGGGTTTCCGTTTTAGAGCAAAACATTGCAAGCACAGAAAGATAATACGAGGGTAAAGCAGATAGAGAAGAGGAGGGAGAGCGTGTGAGAAAAGAAAGGGGTCCAAGCTCTCCAACGCAGAGGCGCGGAGCAGGCTGCCAAAAGCGGGCAAATGGGCGCCTTGATCAGACTGGTCTTGAGTCAATGGATCGCCCTCTTGGATTTGGCATAGCGTCAATCTGCCCTGGAGGCAGGCGCAGAGGTGGGAGTGGCAGAACAGGGAGGAAAGGAGCGAGCAAGCAACAAGCAGGCACGACCAGCGAGATTGACATCTCTAGAGATGGGCGGCTACCAAGCCCAAATCCGACAATTCAAGCGAGCTTCATTGCCATGTGGGGGAACGTGCAGCTCCTGGCCTCAATCCCAGGCACCCAGCCGGCGGGCAGAATGCCACAGTTCCACCCCGAGTCCGATCGATCAGTCAGGGCCGGGTAAGTGTCTCCCGCGAGCCGTCCGTATTCCCTCACCGTTGTGGATAGAGGTATATGCATAATTGGAGATTGATGGCCAGATGGCCACAGAGGCTTGCACCAGCTTTGCGGAGAAGAGCGAGATGAGATCCATTCGTGATGAGCTCAACCTGCCTGTGCCGTGCAGCAACATACATGCACACACACCTACGGACACTCCGGCTGCCGTAATATTGAAAGCCCAGACGACCGGCTTCCTGCTGTGTTTGCCGAGGCGACAGATGGCCGAGTCAGTCTGTCATCGCATCGTGCTCTGTCGGATCGGCGGCGTTGGTTGTTTGCCTTCTCTCACACTCGGCGTCTCTCTCCTTTCCGGCGCCTCGTACTCGACCCATTCCATTCTTCCCCCCACTCGGACGGGCACATTACCACCCCTCCTCTCTCTTTTTCTTTTTTTTTTTTTTTTTTTGTTGGCGTTTGTTTTGTTTCTTCTATTTCTGGCTCGGTCGGTCTTTTTGCATCCAGAGCCCGATCACCCAGGCCAAGCTGGGGTTGGACTGTTGTTTGCGGCGTCCGGGATGGAACCAGCCGAGCTCCTTTTCTCTGCGCGCTGCAACTGGTACCGTCGCATCAGGCTCCAACGGTGTGGAAACTTTGTTTGACAAGACATCCCCACCTGGCCATGGCTTCGGCTTCGACTTCTGGTCTCAGGAGGCCACCACAGAGTCTTGCGGGCTGGTCTGATTCGGTCTGGAGGTGGGCCAGCCGGCGAAATCGAACGGTCACGTTATTTAGACGCACCCCCGCGCCAGGGCGTGGCGGCAATCTCACTAGCGGGCTTCCAGCTCCATCCGCCACTAGCGCAGAATCGCCCGCCCCGCCGTGCAGGTGGGTGGATTGATGGTTAGGCAATAAGCGAGGGTCCCCCCTAATCTTGCACGCCCCTCCTTCCAATCTGCAGCGGCAATGAGGAGGGGAAGCCACCGTCATGGGAAGGTACCGGTGACCTTGACGCTGCAATCGGGGATGCTACCGGCGCAGGCCCCCTTTTGTGTAATTCCCTTGCCAATTTTTGGCCGATTGGCAGGGGACCCACATTGCAGATTGGGGAAAAGAAAAGTCAAGTACCCACCCGAACGCTCGTAAAAGTCAGATGGATGCGACCGACGACACAATTGGGCAGCGCAATTGCTTTCTGTCTAGTGTTACAGGAAGTATTGTTTGATTCGTAACTGTGCGGATTTCCTTTTTGGCTTTGCCCTCTCCTTGTCGCGGAACTTTGGTGAATACCTGTCCTGGGTATTTCTTCAACCGCGCTTGGACCAACTGCCTGACAAGATGAGCCAAATGTGACGTTCAATCTGGCGTGTGCCGTTGGTCTCGGGGAGATTGGGACGCGCACCAGTGGGATGCACCACCCAGAGGAACTGACGCCAGCGCCGAGCTGTCGCTTCTACTTACCGTTCGTGGCAGCGCCTGCGGTTGATACGCTTGTCGCGGCCCCACCAATCAATTGATCCCATCGAACTCACGAAAAAGACCATCCGACAAAAAGCGTGCGTTGGCCATCAATTATCCCCTGAACGGGATGTGGAGGTTCGGGATCAAGGGCCTCTTGACCTCCCCGCCCGCCGTACCTTGCCACACTCCAGGTGCTCGGAGAAGGCCTGCCAGGCGGGCAAATCTGCGGGCAGAAACCAGACAAGGGAAGAGACTCAGGAGCAAGGTTCACGGAGTGGGACAACCCACCACACCGCGACCAGGAGGGCGGGATGGCTTTGGAGCGACAGGGACTGCCAGCAAGGCCTCTCCCTCCCAGTCCCCAGCCCGTTCCAGCAGAGCGGGAGGGCCTGCATAATAATGCAGCAGCCCTGGTCAACCCAGCCTTTTGCGCCCCTCACACCCCCTAGACATTCGTGCCCGCCCGTCGACGACCGTTGTGCAGCATCCTCGTCCCTCTCCGCGCTCTAGCCCGCCGGGCCTGGTCATCCCCCGTCCATTATCTGCGGGACGGTGAATGGGCTGCAGGGCCCTGTGGTCATCATGGGTCCTCACGATGCGCGCGAACGGATGGGTGGGCGCAGGCCACGCCTGGGAGAATCGCTCCCAGTCAGACGGACTCTCGAGTTGCCGGCTCAAGGATTGGTGCAGCCGCGCCCGATGCAAACGCATGGGGTAATGCACATCCACGAAGCGACTAAATGGTTTGCCGTGGGCTGCTTTGGCAGCTGCCATTTAACTAGGCGGACATTTATAGCACGAATGAACGAACCGGATGTATCAAGGCCAGTCCAGTGGTTCTGGACTGATGGCGACAAACAACCGGCCAAGAAGAAAAATAAGCAAGAACACCGCCGCCCAAAATAGCATTGCCACGCAGGTTCATGCTTCTCAGTGGCGTTTCCAATCCGTGCTCGTACCGGCATGCCATAACGGCCAGTAGTTCCAGGAGAAGCCATTTGGCAGTTGCGAAACGGAACCCGACACCTGTTTAACGCGGGCTGACATCAAAATTGATGGTGCCGGCCCCCCTAATTCCCACCAAGCGGCAGCCGAGACGGAGGAGAGAGAGGAGAAAAGAGTAGAAGCAAACGAGATTGAGACACTGTGCGTAGATGATGCACATTTACAGCCGCAGGTGCTTTCGCTTGATTTTTTTTTTGAAGTTTTTTTTGAAGGATCAGGCAAGATGGAGTGAGGTATGCCGACCTCAGGGGCACGAGAGGAGAAACCTACGTCAACACGACACAGATACTCTCTCTCTCCCAAAGTTGCTTGCGTCAACATGCGCGATTATTTTGTCTCCCACACATCACAGCTCAGACCACCCACACCACTAGATGAGTGTTTTTTTTTCTTCCCCGCCGCTCGCTCTCCCAGCCGTGTCCACCCAATATCAATGTTATTCTTCCGGCTGGTCGTGTCGCATTCCTTCAACCGAAAGTGGGCGAGCCGTTTCCATCAAGGCGCCGCCGGCGCGTATTCCATGGTTCGTGCACATTTGCAGGATGATCAGCGGCGGACCTAGACTGGGAAAAAATGCACCAACCGCAGCTGTCACATCGGCCTTGCAGCTCTCGTCCGAGGCTGTGCCAACGGCTGTCTGCTCTCCCTCCTCCATCTCTACCCCTCGACGCCACGCTTCCTGTCATATTCCCATCACCCATCCACATACATGGAGCTAGAGGCACATATCATGCAAATGTAGATTTGAGACCGTTTCCGTTGGCCTTGCTGTATGGAGAACGTCACTGGGGCTGAGCCCTGTTCATATCGAAGGAGCACCGTGCCCCCAATAGCAATGCCCAGCATATTCCAGTCTGCCTTGGAGGCCACATTTACCCTGGCCAATTGATGGCCAAGAGAAACATGAGGGTTACTCTGCAGCCCACACCCCAAGCATCGTCCATTCCCTTTTCTGTTTGTTAATTTTGGCCCAAGAATCCACCCGCCCCGCTAGAATCCCACACTGCAAGCCTGGGCCCAGCATCCCGGGCCACCAGGATTGACTCCCTGCCCTATCCCTGTCCGTCACCTCTGGTCCTGCGCCCAACTTCCTGCACCCTGCGCTTTTGGCCCCCTGAGTGTTTCCTGCCCGTGGGTCCGGCCCAAAACATTCCATCCTCGCCCTGCAGGCCAGCCAACCCCAACGGGGATGCAAAGTACAGGGAAAGTAGAATATTAAACGTTACGCTGTGGGTCTGGCTAGCAGGGTAGCGATACATCGATTTGGCGGGCTTTTCTATGGGGGAAAATGTAGCTAGGATGTGGCCTAGTTAGGAAGAATTTACGGGTCGCAACGTTCAATATCCTACTTTCCTATACAAGGGGTTTTTTTTTTGCTCTGGATCAACCCTATCCCATCTTCCCGCTACCCCTGCACGGGTTTGAATTTGTGGCCCATGTCGGTTCACTACTCCCCGCTCGTCGAGACTGTTGGTTCTTGTGACATCGAGATGTATCTTTTCACGGACGCGGCCCAAGAGGCGAACGACAGCAGGCAGCCGTGGACAAAGGCGGTTCTATACACCCCCATCCCCTTGCCTAGAGTGGCTTGGTCTCAATTGCTTGATGGGTCCCTAGATAGCTTCTGGATAGACTAGCCGCGGCCATCGCCGAGGTCACGAGCCGATATAATACCAGAGTAGGCCACAACAAAGTTCTATTTATGTATACCTGTATGTTATTTCGTTCTCGAAAACGAACGGGCGCCTTACGACCGTTGATCGACACAGACGAAGCACTTCACGTGCTCCGGCTTTCATCACACATCAATGACAAAGCCATCCCTTCATCAAGGCAATGTCCTGGGTGAGGCGTGCGCAATTTCGGGATCTATCAGCTCCATCCCTCGTGCACACTTTGCCCGCTCGTCTCCCTACCGTCAGAAGACAGGTCAGGTACCAATCTCTTCTTTTCAACTGAAGTTTACATGCGTAGACAGCCTGCGTTTCCCCATAACCAAGAGGCTTGTGCAATCGGTAGACTGGGCTTTGGGCTAGGGAGAATTTGGCACGGTTCACATCCATGACTCGGGCAACGGCTGCGTGCACGGCCCTTATGATCGGCGGTCGTCCGCTCCTTCCGCCGGATAGCTTCTTTGGGAAGAAATTTAGCTGCAGGAAAAAAAAAGCACGTAATGAAAAAGAATAGGAAAAAAAAAGGCAACCACCACTACCTCTCACGAAAGTACAAAGACGACAACAAAAATAGAGGGAAAACCTGGCTACGTCTCCGGCAGAGCCTTCTCAACCATTTGCTTAGCACAGCCCTGGCGCCCAGCACTGGAATTCGTTCTGATACCTGTGTCACTTGCTTTTGGCTTGCAACGGCTGCGACCACGATAATCCCTGTCCAGCAGCATTTTGGGCACGAGCCATTCTGTGATTCCAACAGTGCCATCTTGGATTTGCTCCGTGGTGATCGCGAAAGGCATCGAGAGTAACGTCAACAAAAGCCCAACGACGCCGAGGAGGGTCACGACGACAAAAGAGAGTGCGCACGCCAGACGCCAGACGCCAGCAGCCCGACAGCCCACACTGCTTCTTTGCCGTCCCTCGATCTCTGGGCTCGCCACACCGGTCCCGTACTATATCTGAGGAGGAATCGGATCGCACAGCCCGGGACAGGTCCAATCAGTTGCTGCCCTGGACCCGACACCCGTCCAGTCACCACCACCGCAGGCCTGTGGTGTGTTGTCGGTCTCACCCACGAGGTCCTGAGAGCGTCTCTCCCGGATCGCGGCTGCTCTCGCTCCCGATCGTATAATCTTTCAGCCACGAGGGGGTTCGGTGCCACCACCAAAGAAAGCTGCGGCACGCGCGCACGGCCTCGGGTCTCCTTCTGACGAGAAAGCACGACGCTGGATCGACCGGCCTCTTGACAGTAGGTCCGCCAGGCGATAGCACAGAGCTCGGACATCATCTGTCGCCTGTGACGGGATTTGAGCTACAGGCACTCGCCACCCGTCTCGGTAAGCAACGCGGCGACATTCCCACCCAAAAGGGCAATTAGCGCAGTGCAGCACGGCGCTGCGCCTCATGTGTGCCTCGCACGAAGCAGGAGATTATCAATGGCTCTGTGGTTGCTGACGTTCGTTTACTGGCGGGACTGGGAGCAGATACCCTTCTCACATTGTCTTGTCCCGTCTTTGCACATTTCGTGCTCCATATTCTTCGCCTCGTGCGGAGGCTCCATCGCCCTGTGCGGATGCGGATTCTTCCCAATCATTTCTCGCGCTTTGCTAGTGTCTGTTCAGGTGAGCACATGCAGCTTTCGTTCTGTCTCCCCTCTCGTGTGTCCAAAGGCCAGGGTCTCGTCCCACTGTTGTCCTCGGGTGGCGCTTTTCTGTGTAATGGAAATTGTCCTCGCCAGCCGGCCGCACTTGCGCGTTACCAATCTGCCACACTCTGAGCCCACGTCGATACCGGCGTATTTAGCCGCTATTTATTCCCTCCCGTCCCCAGAAAGCCCAGGCCGCAGCCATCCCACATAGCACGAGGATACTCCCCGTCATGTTGTTGGGTGGCAAGGTCTAGGTTGCCTGCTCTCCCGCGCTCCCCTGCCGTCGTTGAAGAACGGGCGCAAGAGCATCCTTCCCGCGCACGCGAGCACAGGCCCCGTCTGTCAGGGGCCATTCCATAATCCCCTGACAGTCCCAACATTCACTCAAGAGCGCGTCTAAACCAGGCTCACAGTTGAGAACGGACGCGCTTCCGTCTTCAGCATTGCGTCATAAACCTGTCGGTGCCGCCGCATCTACCCTTGCCTCGGGGTGGCCCCTCTTCCCTTCGACGCCCTGCATCAGAGGTGCACAAGCGTATGCATCCCTCCCACACCCCGGCCTCGATCCATGTCAAGCGCAACATTCAACCTTAGGCATCAAAGCCTGGACTTGTTTTGACAGCCTAGGGTCGGCACATGGGCTAATATATTCCTTTCCTTTTGTTTTGTTTTTGACAGACGACTTGCTCCGTTTCTTGCTCCGAGAACTCTAGAACTCCAGACCACGCACCATAGAGCATCAACCCCCCAGCACTGACGTTGAAGCCTGGTGGCTTGCTTGTAAGTAAGACCTCACCCCACGCCCCGTCTCCCAGTCCGTGGGAGCCATGCCCGAGACATGGCAACAGGAACCCAACTGACCGGGTGGCAGAGAGATACCTGGTCCCGCCAGTGCCACAGCCAGCTGCGCTACTGTGCCACCGATATTTTCGTATGTGCGCTCGCTGTCCATCACAACCCTATCGCAAAGCCGGTATGTGCATGTTCCCTTTAGTTTTCCACCCCTCACATTTTCTTTTATTTTCTTTTTCTCGTTTCTCTTCCCTTCGTCAGCCTTCCCAATACCTCCTGCTGGTCGGTCTCTGCTCGGCGGCCGCGGCGGGCAACGCGGTGCGCAGTACGCGTTCGTTCGCTTGCGGCCTGAAATTACGTTTCAGGGGTGTGCTGTCCTGATGCGCCACCCGTTCGGGACTTTTCCAAGCATGGGTGTTGCAGGTGTCCAAGCGATCCTGTTTCAATCTCGGCAACGTTCCACCCTAGTTCCACTTGAGGTATCGCATGAATTTGCTCAAATTTCTAGCCTCTTTCCTCCTATTTCACCGTCGACGCCTCTATGGTTCCCGCACACCACACGTTCTATTTTGATCCTGGCAGCAGATCACATATTTTCCCTCCCTTTTTGCCTCTTCCAGGGGCGGTGCTAGCTCCGTTTTGCACCAAGTCGCCGACATCAGAGGCGGAAACGGCTACGCGACAGAATCGACACCAGGGATCAAGAGGTGCAGACGTGTTGACGGTTTTGTTTTTGCTTTAAGAAATCAGCGCGCGCCACCATCTTGGTTTCAACCCGGGAAGCTTGCTTTTGGACACGACAAGAAAGACTCGCAAGACGGCCACCACCCACCTCGTGATAAGCAGCGTCACGCAGTCTCGCCGAACTCTGGCAGTCCAAGTCGATACCGTTGAACGACTCGCCAGCATTGACTTGCAGGGGAGCTACGACAAGACGCAAAACTTAGCGACACCATTTCTACCGTGAGTCCATCTTGCCGTTGACCAATGTCATGGTACGGCCCCTGCTTTCCCCTCCCACACCCCCAGGTGCTCGGGTTGCGCCGGTACAACCCATGCCGGCGACTTTTCTCCCCATGGGACGGGGCACCACACCACGACTTCCATCACATCAGTACACCAACCTGGACGAGGTCACCACCGCCGAGTACATGAGCAACCCTCAAGAGTAACCGACCGGACCCATGGGTTGGGAGACACAAACCATCACCGTCATACATGCATGCAACCGTCGCGGCTGACGACTCGAACAAGTCACTGACGATGCATTTCGCCGACAGCCCGAATCACCGCTCTACAACAGCCTCTATGGGATTGGCAATGGCTCCTCATCGCCAGGCCCCGGGCCAGTTCAAAGAAGAGCCTAACGACTCGGTAAGTGTCTTGCCATGATGTTTCTCCATCTGTCCTCCCAGCTACATACACGCTGTCTCGTCCGCGTTCTACCCTACTCGTCGTCGAGGCCATCACATCGTCATCCCGCCTTTATTGCCCATATACTATACCCTCTGCCATGTCCCGGTAGTCCCGAGGCGGCCTCGGCCGGTTGTGGGCTGTCAAGTGCGGGCCCAACGGCAGGAAGTCGCGCGGAACAAGCTGTGAATCGCTGTGTGGCGCTGTTCCGCAAATCCCGGGGTATCCGCCATGACAAGCGCCGACCAGAGATTCCTGAGCGTGGCTCTCGCCGCCTTTCAAGTGAGAGCTAGGCTCACGTCACGGTATTTTGGTCGGTGAGCGCGGCTGTTGGGGGCTTTCGTTATTTTTGTTGCTTCCATCGTTTCCAGAATATTTGCAAGCCTGTCGCAAGCTTGGCCGGGATGGGCCTAGGGGCCATGTGGGGATTGCAGGGGGGGTCCCGTTTCACAAAGTGCTAGTCTGCGCCCGCTGCGACACAGCACTGTGGACGGCTGCACCAAGTCTGTCCCAAATCTGGGTGCAAGGCCATTTTACGGATCAGTCACCGTCCCTGCGACGGCAAACCCATGACCCGCCTGGTACTGTGTACAAGCATCACCCTCACCACGCTCTGCACCACCCCGTACCGCCCAGCACCGAACCACAACGAGGCCGCGCACGCGCATCCGATTGTGCGCATTCACACCCACCCAAGCACTTGTGTTCCCCCCGCAAGTCAACAGCCTGGTCTAGTCTCCTGTGGCTGGTTAAAGCTCAGGACGAGGGGGCTGCCGCATCCACGGCTGCAAGCCGCCGTTCCTGGTGCCTAGGCTACTGAAGTGGTTCGAGTCGGCGCGGACGGTGACTGAGTAGCCACCACGCAAGTGCGAAACTGTCGGGGTTGTCCAAGCCAGCCCGGCCCGGATGCCCTGGGCTAAAAAAGCACGTTGTCGACAACGAACCCCTGGGCTTGCAACGGCGGCGGGGCTGGGAAACGCCCCTGGCGCCTCTTTCGAGCCCGCCACCAACAACAGCACTACCAGCAGCGGCGATCCGACGCAGCTTTGTTGTCAAGCCCCTCATTCTCCTCAGTCCCTACGCAGCCTCAGTGTCACGCTCGCGCATCCATATTGCACAACGCCCACTGTCATATGACAACAAGCCTACCATGCCCATTTGGGGCCTAAAGCGGCATCTACTGGCCTGGACTTGGTGGCTCTGGCAGTTTTCGCATACTGTCTGGAAAGGTCTACCAAGCCCAAGTCAGCTTTCAAAGGCAACACTTGCGAGCAAGGAGGCCCATGCCAAGCCTAGCGGCAGATGGTACAGCACGGCGATTCAGATGGATTGGCCGCAGGTCAGTCTCGTCTTGATGGGCGGCGAGGAGCGCGGGCAAAGAGAAGGAACGGCTCCTCCAACTCCTCCACCGGCGTCAACGGAGCAAATGACCTCGCTGCGCTGCGAGATAGCGCTCTACAGAGCCGTTCCTCTCATTAGCCGTTGGGCTTAGCGGCTACAGCACGCGTCCGGCACGTCCAACAGGCAGCCGAGCGAGGTACCAGGGACTTTGGCCTGCGGAGGCAAGGACTGCCAGCCACCCTGGCGCAAGCCTGCACCCGTTGGAGGGTGGCCGGGGGGCCTCGCACACACCGCCTCCCATGCATGCACCCAATGCGCCCCACACCCACCTCAGACCACACAACTCCCACTCACACGCCCACGCACGCCCCTGTGCCCCCTGCCCACCCCCTTGCCTCCCAAGTGGGCCATGGTGGTGATTGGCCGTGGCTTCTCGACTCGGGCACACGGCCAGTGGCTGCCAATAGGAAGCCAGGCTGCCTCGCCCCTTGCCCACGAGTCCTGCCCATGCCTTGGTCCATCCTTGATTCGCTCCACACGTCTCGAGGGGGGCCGCCCCTCTGGTACATGCGGTAGCCGTACGGAGCAATGGTCCCAAGTGCCAGACAGGCCGCCTCCAGGCAAGCAGCGGACGACAGGGCTAGGACCCCCAGGGTATGAGAAGAACAGAAGAATTTACTTTTCTGTAATTCTTTTTTCATCACACACCATCGAGCTATATCAGACCTGCCCCAATATTATTACCCCTATTGCCCGCGACCACACCCTCGCATTACCAACCCCATCACCGCGCTGTCATTGAATCCCCACATATATGCTACACGGGTACTTTGACCCCCCTGGTCGTCTTCCGGCCTTCCCATCTTCTTTGCACCCTGCGAATCAGTATCTTCCCGGGGACGCCTTTTAACCGTGCCCATCCCCTGCGTTGCGTCCTTGCTCCATCCAACCTGTCCATCTATTCGTTCCGGGATCTTGCACAAACCTTCGCGTCGCGCCCTGTTCCTTTTGCTCAAGTCTCTCCCGTCGCGTCCTTTTTGACAGCCGCGTGGTCTTAGCTCAGCATTCAGTGAAGGAAGAGCCGGCCAGTTCCAACGGTACGAATATTTTCCCTGCAACTGGAGGATCTCCCTGGGGTCTTCTCCAGATTCCTGAACGGGCCCCCCTGTTCTTGTTGGTGGCGACGAGGGATTCGGTTCTGGACCGGCCCCCCGACACAGGCTTCCCCGTTTTATTTTCTTGGGAGGTGGGAGGCTTCCGGCCGCTGTAGTACGCGTGCTCGTCAAGTCACTGGGGCCACCACCCACCACACGCGCGAGTGCGCACACACACGACACACTCTTGCTCACCCCCATCCCCGTCCTTCCTCCCGAGGTCTAGCCCGCCCAGCCAGCTACCCTGGTCGCTGGCGGCAGGCCACCCCTGCCAATCAACACTTTGCCCAAAGAAAGAAAATAAAATACCCCAAGTGTGTCTGTCCATGACCACGTATTCTGTGGTTACCACAAATCAGCTTAGCTTCGTGAGGGACTAATGGCCGTTTCCATGCAGCATCATCCCCACAACCCGCAGCAGCAAGGTCAAGCACCTTCACATATACAGCCACATCCTCGACCCTCGAGCATTGTGCAGCAGCATCATCCCCACGCTCCTCCCCAGCAGCAGCAACACTCGTCACCCTACTCGTACCAGCATCAACATACGCAGCAACCGACCCAGACGAGTGGCGCTCAGCACGCCCAGGACATACCCTATTACACACAGCAGAGCCCGTACAGCACGCCCGGTGCAACTAGCGGATATACATCCGCAGGTGAGTCGACGCTCCTCCCTCCCGGCTGAATACAGTTACACAGGGGACTTGGTTCGACGCACGTCACACGCGCACACAACACACGCGCACACAACACACCTGCCTGTACCGTACTTTGGAGTTGACGCGTATTGTTTTCGCCCCGCCCCGTCACAGACACCTCGGAAATGATGGCCGCCGCGATGCCTCGACCTCCATACCCGCCTATGTCCTACCATACGCCACAGTCCAACTCGCCAGCCTCTGTCGCATCACCTTCCGGCCACGATCAGCAGCGGAGCATGTACGCACAACCGACATCCCAGCTTCACCAGCAGTCCATGTACTATGGCCAGCAGGCGCAGTACCCGCCGATGCCCACGCAGGCGCAAGCCTCGCCATACGGCCAGCACCCACAGCAGTCGCACCAGAACATGACCTCGCAACCGAGCATGATGATGTCGCACAACAATGCCGCACAGCACCAGATGAGCCAACATGGCCACGCCACACAACACGCTCAACAGGGCATGACTGGTAGCCCGAGGCATCCCAAAATCGAGGCCCACAGCATGCCGCCCCAACTACAGCGCCCAGGCCAGCCGTCGCCCATGTCTCAACCGTCAATGCAGCAGCAACCGCCAATGGGCCAGCAGCAGTCACCTATGGGCCAGCAGCAGAGCGCCCAGAATGGTGCGCCCATGCAGAACGCGCAGGGCGTTGGAAGCGGCGCATCGGCGGTTAACCCCAACGCGGCTCCTGGCCCCATCCCGGCTACTACTCCCTTGGTTGTGCGACAAGACCAGAACGGTGTTCAATGGATTGCGTTCGAGTACTCACGTGACCGCGTCAAGATGGAGTACACCATCAGGTGCGATGTCGAGTCGGTAAACACCGAGGAGCTGTCCCCCGAGTTCAAGACGGACAACTGCGTGTACCCCAGGGCATGCGTGTCCAAGGACCAGTACAGGGGCAACAGGCTGCAGTATGAGACGGAGTGCAACACAGTGGGCTGGGCGCTGGCAGAGCTGAACCCGCCTCTGCGAGGCAAGCGGGGTCTGATCCAAAGGGCGGTGGACAGCTGGCGCAACAGCAACCAGGACCCCAGGCTACGGAGCCGGCGCGTGCGGCGTATGGCTAAGATGACGAACCGGTCCAAGATGAACCCGCAGCCCGCTGGTGGCCACATGCCCGCCGGCCCCGGCGGACCGCCAGGGATGTCGGCTGCTCCAGGCTCCATGGGCCCCGGTGGTGCTGGCATGGGCAAGCCCGGCATGAACAGCATGGGCCAGATGCAACACCACCACCACGCCCACGCCGACGGAAGTGGTCAGGGGAGCGGAGAAGAAGTCGGTATGTTTCACCAGATGTGATTGAAATAACATTTCGTTGGCTTTTTCTTTTCCTTCATTGCTTCTTGAGACGATACTCCCTTCGCGCAACATTTATACCACTATACCTGTGCTGCGAGTTCTCATCCTCTTTTCTTTCTTTTTTATCCTCATGTCTCATTCTTTTTTCTCTCCCTGTGTTTTGACGTTTTTCAGGTTTTGTTTTTGGGTTTCTCAAAGTGTGCCTTCTTCCTCACATCTGGGTCTTGTTTTTTTTCTTTCTCTCCACTTGTTTTATACGGACGTCGGAAGACACCTGCGCAGCCCGTTCCTTTGTCGTTAAAATAGCGCTCGCAGCCACCCAAAAGCCAACACGTCTCGGAAGGTCACCGGCAGATATAGTGTCGGGGGTGACGTGAGACGCATTGTACATTACACACCATCTAGTCCTCGGCCATGTCTATGGGCTCTGTTGTTTTGGTGCGCGTTGTCGATTTGGCCTCTTGGTATGAGAGAGCTTGGCTTCTGCATCGCATCTAGTTTGCATGCCCGCCGGCCTGTTCTGCCACCAAGCCCTCTCGTTCTGCCGCAGACGCTGCCTCACTCACATCCAAAATTGTCTTGCATACCTTACTACCTTATCATACACACGCACCGGCCGAGAAAAAGAAAGGGAGAAAAAATAGGCACTGCTGTTTCAGACCCGGCCTGCTCCTCTGTATCGCAAGTTTTGTTGTTCAGTTTGCTCGCACGCGCACCCGTGGCTTTTGTATCCGTTTTCTGTCACTTCATCGCCCTTGACATGCCCCCTCTTGTATACAACTGTGCTCCACACACCCTGCCAAGCCACGGTTGGCACCCTTCGGCTAACACCCCCTTGTTTCTAGGCGATGGAGACTCCTTTTCGGATGACCAACATCACCACCACCACCACCAGGCCCCCACCCAGGCGGGGTCGCAGGACGACGTCCGCCATAGCCAGACCTTCAGTGGCTACGGGGGCTACTCGGGCAACGCGCCGTCCGGGTCGTCGTCGATACCGTCCATCCACGACACCCTCCACCACGGCGGCGGCGGCGGCGGCGGTAGCAGCAGCGCCGTCGCCGCGGCCCGCCGCCACAGCCGGGCCGACGACGAGCCCGAGGACCTGTTCCCGGACATCCCCGAGGCCAAGAAGCGCAAGTTCATCCTGGTCGAGGACAGCGACCGGCAGTCGCGGCTGCGGGTGCGCGTGACGCTCGACGGCGTCGACACGCGCGAGATACCCGACAGCTTTCGCAAGAACAGCTCCGTCTACCCTCGCTCCTACTTCCCGCGCGAGATGCAGAGCCCGCCGCCGAGCCCGACGGGCTCCAAGTTCTTCGTCGACGACCTGGGCGGCGCCGATGATGGTGCTGCGGCCGACGACGACGGCACCACCGACACCGAGGGCCGGCGGGCGTCGAGGGGCGCCTCGTCGGGGGCCCGCGGCCGGTCCATGGTCAAGGTACCCATGTCGGACGGCACCGAGGGCGAGGTGGCCATCCCGAGGATGCGCCGCGTCTTTCGCGGCAAGGAGGTGCGCCTCAACGACCTCGGCTTCCGCATGGCGTGGCTGCAGAGCCGCGTCTTTGCCGGCCGGACCATCTTCCTCCAGCGTGCCCGTAAGTTGCCGTGTTTCTCTCTTTATCCTGTCCTGTTCGGAGCCGACTCTGGGTTCGTTGCTGACACACATTGCTTTTGGCCCCATCCCTCCAGTCGACTGCTACCGCAATAAGACCCGTACCGCCATCGAGTCGCTCATGCAGGACGTCAAGACGGTCAGCCCGCACTTCGAGACTCGCGTGGGCAAGCGCAAGTGGAACGAGAGGATGCGCCGCAGCGAGAAGAAGGACGATACCGAGTCGTCCTGAGCTCGGGTTGGCCTCTTCCTTCCGCGTCTCCTCTGCGACATTATGTCCGGCTCACCTGGACGTGTACACATACCTCGAGCCATCTACTCTGGCCCCGGGACTCACTCCTTCTCTAGCCCTCTCTCTTCTCCCACATCCTCTCCTTGTCAGCATCTTGTCCGAGCTGAGCGGTTTCGCATCTTGTGTGCTTTTCCAGAGCCATATGTGTGGTGTCATGTCGGTGTCCCATGTTTTCTGCGCCTTGTCCCTCCTTTGCTCGCATCAATCATTTGTGGGTTGGCAGCGCTTTTTTCTTCTCCTCATTCTCTCTTTTATGTTCCATGTTGTCCTGGTGTTTGCACGGATCTCCTTACTTTGTTTGCTTTCCTTCCTCTTTTCAAATTTCCCCTTCCTTTCTCGACGTCCTGTGTATGCCTCTCCTTCCTCTACGCTTTGATATCCCCACGACGTTTGGTAGGGTTGGGCAAGGCATGAAGGGAAAAAAAGTCATCTAAATGTGTGAAAAGGGGGGGATATAAAAACATGATCGGTTTGTGTGTGGGTTGGTTGTTCACGGGGCGCTTTTCCTTGTGCTTTTTTTTTGTTCGTTTTGGCTTCCTTTTACTTTTTTCCGACCTCACTTGCCCTACAATTTCATTTTTTCTCGACCCTTTCTTGTCCTTCTCTTGCCATCTTCTGTTGGCCTTTAGACCTTTGTGGTGCTTGGGTTGGTTGGTTGGTTGGTCGGTCCTGTGGTTTGGTTGGCAATGATGGATTGGTGGTGGCCTTTGGCAAATGGCAGGAATGGCAGATAGACTTGACACGTTTTCTCTGGTTTTGGAGTCTTCTTTCCTTTCTCATTCTCATCTTCTCTTTCCTGTCTCCTTTAACTCTTGTTGTCTCCTCTTTCTAGATGGTTGCAGTTCCTCACCGAGCATATATCACGCCGAGGGCTTGCAAGGATGCATACATCCATCCCCCTCTCACGAACCCCGACGCACTCGCCATCTTCTCCTGCAGGGCTCTCCCGGTGCTTGCGGAGAGGTGGCCGTGGCGCCGGGTGCCGCCCTGCGATGCGCGCCTCTTTTTTTGGCACACCTCAAGGGATTTGGATAACCTATGTACCTGTCGGTGCATTTCCGTTCGCGGCACTCATGGGCATCCTTTCCCTTTTCCCCAAGATAACTCTCTCAAATACGTACAACCATTCTTCGGTGGTACATACCTGCAGTCTATGATGTGATAGTTGCCATGTGAATCCCTCTCGCGCTCAACACGACTCCGTATATGCTCCCATCATCGGCATCTTGGGTCATTCGTCTTGTCCCACATGTACAAGGCCAGCGGACGGCTGCACATTGGCTGCTCAGGGCCACGCGTTCCCCCTCCCGAGAGCTGGGATGTTTTTTTTTTTGGCGTGGTCGTGCACACTCACACGCCCATGTAGAGTTTTCTTTTCACAGTCTCGAGCGCCCTCCCTCCAATGTCCTCCGGGAGGGGTGAAGTGGGGGTGTGTCCGGGGTACCCGTGGGTGATAGTGGCTCTCTGCCGCTGGGTGACAACAAGGTATGTAGACAGGCCAGGCACCCCCTATCAGCGGGGGGGCGCCACCCCGGACATGCCCCCGAGGGAAAGCCCGCCGGCAGCATCCAGGACGATGAGGTGGAAGGGGTGGTTCATTCGCTTTGTATTTAGCAAAAGCTGGTTTGCTCTGGCGGACATGGAGGACATTGGGGACATGGAAGGAGGAACCTTGTTTATACACGCCCCCACCACCTCCTAGAATAAGCTCGGGGCCAACCTGTGAGGAGAACCTGGCCTTCTCACCCACCCACCCACCCACACACACACACACACACACACACACACACACACTTATTCCTACGAACCGACGGGCTATTTTCTTTCTTTCTCCTCTCTTGGTTTCGG